TCCCCGGTACCATCGACCAGCCCAACAGATGGTGCGTCAACGACAAAGACATCGAGACCGCCCGCGAACGCCTCGAGAAGCACGGCCACGTCTTGCATGGCAAGATGAAGTTTGGCCACATCAAGCGCACCCTCCTCGGCTTCCGCTTCTGGCTCGTCATCACGACTGACGTCCTCTTCTGGAACGCAGGCATCCACAAGAACACGGGTTCCTACCTGCTCTGGATCAAGAGTCTTGGACGGTACAGCGCTGCTAGGATCAACGAGCTGGGTACAATCTCCCCCGCGCTGGGTATCGCGTATACACTTATTGCTTGCTTCGCTTCGGATATGTTCCTCGGACCGGCCTGGTCGATCACGATATGCTCGGTCCTCAACGCCATCGGTCTCATCTTCCTGACGATATGGACTGTTCCCGAAGGCGGTCTCTGGTTCGGGTTTGCGACCATGTACTGGTCCAATGCTCTTTCTTCTGTGTTCCATGGCTGGGTCAACAACCTGCTGCGAGACAGCCCCGAGGAACGGAGCTTCACTTTGGTTCTTATTAACTTGCTGTCGCAAAGCTCGACGGCATGGACGCCCTTGCTCACATTCCCGACTGTGGAGTCGCCAAGGTACAGGAAAGGCTTCTCGTTCTGTCTGGGATGCGCAATCGCGTTGATTGTGTTCACGTGGATCATGCACTATTATCTGAAAAGGGACAAGAAGCACGACACTGGGTCCACTGATGAGGAAACGAGCACCCAGTCCGAAGTTGGCGTGGCGTCTTCAGTAGAATTGAAAGGTAAAACCGACCTGGACGCTATAAAAGACGATCCGACTGCTGCAAGGGTCAACAAGGAGACAGGTGATGACAAGATCACAGCGATTTGACAGTTCTCTCATCGGATTTGTCATACAATATGCGGACTTGGCAAACAATCTTGAAGTTCTTTGGAAAGATGTATGTACTGAAATGAAAGCTAAGCTATGTACAGTCGCGTCTTGGGCCTACTACATGCTACATGCCCCAGAGCGATAATGAATGAAAGAGAAACTTTGATCCTGAACCTTGCCTGTATCCTATCTCATCTCGACCTTGGATGACAGAAAGACAGCCAATCTCGATCCCCATCCCATGAGCACTTAGTAAACAGGAACCTTGAAGGCAGGGAAGGTGTAAGTCCAGCTGTCAATCGACTTGGCATCGTTCACGCAGTCAAAGTCGGAGCTGTTGCCGCGCCAGACGGGACGGGTAGGCCACTGGCAAAGCATCTGGGTCTCGCCAGCGTTGACGTTGGTGGACGAGGTGACGGTGGCGTTGAGGCGGCTGGGCTTGTTGCCGTTCTCGACCCAGTCAATCATGATGTTCATGTTGTTCTGAGGGTAAGGGCCGGGCTGGAGGCTGTTGGTGCCGCAGTGGCCGGCGCCGGGGACCAGGTAGAACTGGTACCAGTCCTCGAGGGACTTGATGGCCTCGTCATCCTTGGCGTCGGGGTACATGACGGAGCGGACGGACTGCCAGTAGTGGACGGAGGAGGCGGCGGGGATGCTGGAGTCGGACTCGCCGTGGTAGTGGAGGAGCTTGCCGCCCGAGGACTGGAAGGGAGTCAGGTCGGGGAGAGTGGTCTGGAGGCTGTCGAGGTAGCGGATCATGCCGGTGTTCATCCACTCGACGAGAGTGTCGTAGGTAATGTTGTTCATGTCGGAGAGGTTGTCGAGGTCGAGGAGCTGGACGAACTTGGTGACGTACTCGCCGCCGGTGGAGGGGATGCTGAGCTCCCAGGCGTCGGTCTCGTTGTTGTAAACAGTAGCAGCGTCGCCAAGCTCGGAACCAATCTGCCAGGAGAGGTAGGCGCGCTGGCCCTGAGAGTTGAAGACACCATCGTAGATGGCCTGAGCAACGGCGACGGCCTGCTCAGTGACAGTGCCGTTCTGCTCGGGCTGGTAGCTGGTGGTGCTACCCTGGGCCTGTCTCTTGTTGAAGCCGAAGCCGAGCGAGCTGCTGGTCTTTGCGGCGCAGTAGTAAGACTCGCCAATGGTGGACTTCAGGTCGAACTGGAGCTTGCAGAGATCAGTGCGGGAGATGACGCCGTCGACACGACCGTCGAGGCCGTCGCAGGCGGCAATGGTGGAGTTGACAATCTTGGCCAGCTCGCAAGGGGGCGGGTAGTAGTCCTGGGTGTGCTCGACAGCAGACGAGTAGACGTGGAGGACCTGCTGCTGGGCGAAGCGGAAGGCCGGGGCACCAGCGATGACACCGTCGTACTCCTCACCCCAGCGCTGAACCTGGCTCATACCCTCGCGGCCACCGTCAGAGCAGCCCTCGTAGTAGGTGTAGACCTTGTCGTCGGTGCCCATGCTGTAGAAGCCCTTGGTGATGGCCTTGCCGACCTGGGTCATCTCGCCCAAGGCCTGATACCCAAACATGTGGGTAGCATCCCAGTTGATGGAGCCGTTTCCGTAAAGGACGACCTCGTCGTAGCTGTTGTTGAAGGCGTCGTAGCCGGCATCGGTGGCACCTCCGGCAGCACCGTAAGAGATACCGCCAGTGGAGTCGGAGGAGAGGGAGAAACCGCCACCGCCGGCAACATAGAAGCGGTTCTTGAAGACGTCGGGGCTCGGGAAGGCGTACTTCAGGTTAACGGTGTCGCCCTTGCCAGTGTGGGTATAGGCCACGGTGACGTTGCAGTATGTGAGGGGGGTGCTGCTGCCGCCCATCATACCACCGCCGCTGGTGGCATTGTAGACCGGGCTGGCAGTCACCGAAGAGGGAACCAGGTCAATGCCAAGAAGGGTGCCGTTGGAAGGCAGAGCGTTCTGCACGTTCTCGACCGTACACACATCTGCCAGGGAAGATGTGCTGGCTCTGGCCGCCAAAGCGCGGAGAGCCGCCTTGGAGTACTTAGACATATTAGAAGGATGCGAAGTTCAAGTCGGTGTGGAGGAAAGACAAGTGAGTGAATGAGAGAAGAGAGAGCGAATGATGGTGGTGATGCCTTCTAAAACCATCAGCAACATCGTGCCCGGGCAGACATCTTTATAACAAGCTTGAAAATCTATCCCGATGCTGCGGTTCCCGAGTCCTCGGCGACGGCGTTGCCATAGTAGACGCGGCTCCACACGTGGTCCGTCTGTACGCCTCATAGCGCCGGGGCGCAGTGTATAGACGTGCGAGCCGTATTCTCGCATCGACCCCAGTTCGACCGTGGAGACCTACTTCTACAGGTTCAGTTTACGTCAGTCACTGCTAGCGTGAATGGAAGAGATGATGGTAGGGCTGATGGTCCGGACGAAACCTTGTTCGGGTGGGGATCCAACTCCCGACGCTTGGAGGGTTGTTTGCTGGTTCGTCCAATGATCCTTGGTACCCTGACCACCGGCATGCCGCGTCACACTGGTCCTGGACAATCTTTGAATCCAGTGTAGTCTGATTTGTGACGCGTCTTTCTTCAAGACGTGGATGGAAACGTGTTGCAGCGTTAAGGCTAATTCAAATGCAGCTTAACGATTCACGAAAGACAATGAGCTCCCGGTCTGGCATCCGACTTCGAGAACGTGTCAATCAGAACAGTGTCTCAGTACCACGCCACTTTTTCGTTGGAGTTCTCGCTTTCAGTATGATTGTATCGAAATAGGGGGACAATCTGGCACTTGAACTCATTAGTGAAATCTATGGGCATTTCATAAGGGGTGCATTGGAGCAGTGCAAGACACCCTCAGTGGCATGAGTGAACTCCAGGCTAAGATTCAGCACCGCCTGAACGTTTCTAGTCAATGTCATCCCAGCAAAGAGCATAAACATGTCTATGAAGGTCCCACAGCTCTATGCCCCCTGAACAAAGTTGATAAAAAAAGATCTAAAGTCCGCCGGGGAAAAAGTGACCACAAGCCACAGTAGTAAACTTTCTTCGGTACAACCCCACAAAGCTTTTGGGTTTCTTGGAAAGGGGGCTAGGCAAAACCCACGAATGCTAGCTAAAATCTGCTCAGTGTGCTGAGCACACAGCCAACTCCCATCACGGGACCGATTCGGCCAACGGGTTGTGGATAGTGATGATGAATTTGTCTCTCCATCCACCGGCCGAGTGTAATTGCCTTCTCCAGCTTTCTTCAAATTCTAGCCACTTCTTTCCTTTGGTGGCGGATGTTGCCGTGGGAAGTAAAGAACGGGAGCACCGTTCTAGCGCTGTCTCTCGGAGGCCGTTGTGGGGGCGCCTCCGATCTACGGCCGGGATTTGGGCCGATGCTTCTAGTGGGGCTAGTCCGAGCTGCATTCGGCCAATCACGGATTTCAGCGGACAAGCTTCTTTGCTTGATCTGGCTGAGGAATACTAATCTGACCGTCATTTACAGCCTACGAGACAGGCGAGGACTGCCCCGAGTTATAGCATAGGGCAAGGGAGAATGTGAAAGGGGTGGCCACTGGCCTATGGGAAGGCAAGACGGGGAGCAACAGGTGGGCATGTGAGTTGATTTACGCTTGACCTTTACGCGGTATGTTTATCCTTTAATCTACCAGAAGGATTGTTTCAAGACTAATCACTATTGTTCCGGAATATTTTGAGCCCACATCCCGATGCCATCAACTAGAATCACTCGCTGTTGGGTGCGGAAAGCATCGTCGCTAAAGCAAACGGGAACATATACCATTCGGGCTTCCAGCGCAAGTCACATGTCACCCTTTTGTCGAAAGTTATACGCAAAGCAAGGGGAAGATAGTCAATATAATTACTACAGAGAGATAAGAATCAGCAGAAAAGGTCTGCCAATTTGCCATCACAAGCCCGGATCAATAGGTACGTGGCAGCCGACCTCAACGAAGAACTTCTTCTCAGATAGCACGAAACCAGGAGAAGCCCTTAAAAATTCAGATTCAGTCTACGCTGACTCTTTGTGTACTCAATAGGTGTACTAAAGAATCCCTCGTCCTCCGAAGCTACGTCCAAAAGCCCACAACCAATCTAACCAGCTTGCAGGATTTCGTCCACCGTCAGCGTTCATGGCCAAACCTCCTTCTTCCTAGTAATTGCGGCCATCATAACCAGTATTGAAGGACTCAGGAATATCATTGGTGATATTCTCGTAAGCAGTCACAACGTCCGAATACTTTGGAACTGCCGTCGGGTCATTGGGGTCGAAAGTAACCTCGTTCGATACAACGCAGACAAGGAGGTTCCTCAGGTCCCCCGGCGACCTCAGCTCTCCGTTGGGAAGCGTAACCTTCCATCGAATGTTGTCGTTCAAGTACGCAACCACGTGCTCAGGTGCAAGGCTCTCGATCTGTCCAGCCAAGTACCGCTCGACAAGAGCGATGGTAAGAGGGATCTGGCCAGTAATTCTCTGATCTTCGTCACGGCCCTTCTTGCAGTTCTCGCACGAGCTGTGTTCGTCCCGGCCGAACGTGGCAAAGGATCCGACGTGAGCGTGGTCCTTCATGTACAGAAGAGGATCTGTGCTGGCCGAGGGATCGCCGATGAAGATATTGACAATGTAGTTGCCATCCAGCTCGTGTTTGTTCGCCTTGATGTTGACCAGCCATTCGAGATACTTGTTTCCGACTGCCAAGTTGCGGAGATCGCGACCGGCAGGTAGTTCGACGCTTTCAGTACCAGAGACCTCCAAATGGGCCTTCGCACGGTCCTGAAGCACACGCAATGTCTGAGCTTCTAGTGGCTGGGTTCGCAAAATGTTGGCAAAGGAGGCTCTCTTCTTGTAAAGTCGATCGACCTCGTTGAGAACATCATTCCTGGTCTTGAACTTGCTCTGGGTCTCGGGATAGACGTAACCGAAGTCTTTGGTTTTTTCCACTGCGACTGATGTCCAAAGGACCTGGCTGCCATCCTCTTTTAGAGAGTGAGCAAACGGAGGCAACGAGGTGTCCTTGTCCTCCTTCACGCCTCTCGCCCGGAAGACGGTGTTCCCTGTAGACTTTTGCGGTGTAACGTATTTCCCAGGGTTGCAGGCCTGCCATATGGCGAAGATACGGTCAATATTGGCGTGATGAAGCCAGAAGATGGGGTCAAAAGCCGCGATCTTGACGTTACCCATGTAGTTTCCAACGTATACATGGACAGCGTTGTGCACATCTTCGATGCTACCCCAATTATTGAATCGAGTGTCAGGGGAACCGAAATGTTCATTGTTTGACACACCTCCAAAGTCCGTGTACGACTGAAGAAGGAAGATGATTCTCTCAGACACGTTCATGCCTTTGGTGGGGACCTTGAATTCATTCAGCCACTCAATGAGAGCCTTCTTCCGTGCGATGTCATCGATACCACCGAAGGTTCTCGAGGTTCTGTTTTCTTTCTAGAGGATCGGAGTAAGCCAAAGTCGTATGAAAGCATCGAGAGAAAATTACCAGAATCTGTGCAAAGTCGCCATTGAGGTTGGATTCCTGCTTCTTCTGGGATTGGGAGTACTTTCCGAACTCATATCGGGCCAGCGGGTTCATCTTTCTAGGAAACTCGTCCGGCTTTCCCTCCTGACTCTTGGGTCTCTCTGGAGTGTACTCTTCTGCTGACAGAGCTTCCTTCGGGTACAATGGAAGTTCAGGTTCCGCCCAATCCCAGTAAGGCAGTCGAAAGGTCTTGGCGGCCTTGATGTACTTCGGCTTCCCATCTTTCTCGAACTCGCGTGCGATGTAGTTGACGTGCTTGTACAGCTCTCCCTAACATTCTGGGTTTAGCATCATCGCAGTGGATTTGGCTTCAGCTATGCAAAATCTTACCTCAAACAAGGCGAGATAGACACGGTGCCACGTGAGGAACAAGATGGAAGTATGGGTGCAGTATCCACCAAAGACTGTCTTCAACTTCTCTTTGTCAAATTGGGAACCCACATCATTCCAATCTGCGTTCGGCCACTTCTGCGCCGGCAACCCGTGGATACCTTCGAAGTTAAGCTTAGAGACCTGAAGGAGCAGAATCGAGGGGTGGGGGGGGGGGGGGTCTCTTACCCGCAATCTGGAAATACGATAGTGGTTCCTTTTCATCAACCTTTTGGAACCGCTCTAGTCCAAGGAGAAAAAGAGTCCATTGCTCCTGGTGATTGTTGGCCATGTCGCGCAGCTCCAGCCGCATGGGCGGTTCACCTTGACATCATTAGCAACATTACGATATGTCTGAACTATACGTGAGGAAACCGTACCTCCTTCGAAGCCATCTTGGATGCCTTTGATAATGACAGGGCCGTTGTTTCCGTCGGAAGACATGTTGATGACTGAGGCAGTTCCGTAACTGAATTGGGTAGCTGGGCTGGGGCTTTGTGGTGAGATTGAGGTTACAAGACAATCGTGATGATCTGAGGGTCATATTCAGAAGGATGAGACGGAAGAGAAACGACCAGGTTTTATGTCAACTTTGTGATTATTGCAAGGTCGTTGCTCCCTGGTAAGAGTCTCCAGGCCTGAGTGGGATGCCGTTGATGTCCAGCATTCAGCACGCCTCAGCCGTTTCTGTCTCACATTCGCCATCTCGGGTAGGCCCGTCGCGTGCATGATCAGCCTCCAGCCAGCCACAATACTCCAGCTCTGACTCTCAATCACATATCGATCTCAAAATTCACATGTGTGAGAGAAAATCAGCATGCCTAGACTGAGCGGTGTGTTCAAGATGCATCATCTGCGTTCGAGGGTTCAGCCAGCCGGGATTGAGGGCGGGGGTAACTCCGGAGAGGACGAGGACTTATTGAGACTCTCCAACAACCGCTCTATCTTTTGGATACTTAGTCTTAACACTGGACTCGAAAGAACCTTTCAGAATGGCTGACCAAAACGTCACCTCGGTTCTCTCAGGAGTACCTAACTATCTGATGGTCTCGAAACTCGTGAGAGAAGCACCAATAGAAACATGAGCGTCCCGTGCGACCCATGGCCGAGACGAATGATCACAGAGGTTTCCTATTCTCATCATTCATAGCAACTGACGGTGAAAACTACAGCTCTAGGCTAGTCGTTTGGTCTCAGCCTCAATTCACATCACACATGAAACCTTGAGACCTATTGATGTCCCCGTGAGGCTGCGAGACGCGGCATACCTATGCCAAGCAGCTCTGCATACTTTGACTACCCAATGGCCTTGGCCTAGACCATGTCCGAAGAAGTTCCTGAGTGCGGCTGCACGTCTCTTACGATATGTGAGATCGACAGTCAGCTTTCATGAGTCTCATTTTGTCCCCTCACACGCAACTTTGCTATACATCCAATCTCACTTCCAAGCGGTGAATACCAACGTGCCTGCAATGCAAGTCGCTGTTTGGGATTTCACATGCAGTTCTCTGTCTGAGAATGAGTCTGGCTCTTAGCAATCAGATCTGACCGGCCCTGCAAGCCTTCGGACGCAGCTACCTGCTTAGACAGTTGAGGCAGCAGATTAAACTATCACCAAATTTCATCATGACACAAGTGGGACCTATTTGGCTTTGAGTGGCGAGTTATCTACCAGTCACGAATGCCTTCTGCTACAACATGCCTCATGCCGAGCCAACGCGGTGAGAGGGAAGTTGTACGTAGAGATCGCCGTCGCGTATGTGACTCTTATGACATTCAGGAGCAAAGGTTTAATACACATCATAGTCACTAGGGAATTGAAAACTAAGGGGAGCGAAAATGAGTGTCATGAAAAGAAGAAACAACGTGCATCTGAGGCCGACTTCGCCCTCGAGACATCATTCCCATCATTCTTTTTGGTTCGTGCTAATTCTCATCTATTTACACATGACTCTTTCAATCTTTCCTTTACCATTCCTTCATGCTCACGTCGCTTACGACATATCCTGCATCGACATCCCCTCCATTGCTTCATTTTTCCCAACCTCTGAACATTGGGATCCAATACGTACACGACATTCCATCAAGCATTCATTACAGCAAAAAGCATTTCCTCAGCTCTCATCCCATTTCGTCTCGTTAGGACGCAAAAAACACAAAAACCCATGTGATATCTCTGAAGAACAAAAACCAATCAACGAATCCCCAAACTTACCTCCTTGCAACTTTTTTCGCAATAGGAGATGAAGGAGAATACAAGCAAAACGTCGACCCATAAAACGCCTCAAAAAAGCTGCAAGTCAACTCGTGACAGTCGTCAAGGAATAGCAGAAGGAAGGCCATCGCTGTGTCTATGAAGCAAAAGCAAGATTGCAAGAAGCAAGCGCCGACAATCGGCACCATTGGTGATTGAATGCGAATCAACGCTTGAACACACTGCTGAGTTTGCTTCCGCCGACGCTGCTTCCCACACTACTCGACACGCTGCTCATCTTCTCGCTGACCTTTTCGCCGAATCCGCCCATCCACTTGGGCACCTTGAGACTCATGCGCACCTGGCCGTCGACAATCATGCTGATGACATTGAGGACAGCAAACGTGGTAGAGCCGATGGCGCGGAAGAGAGCCAGAATCGCCACGGACCAGAGAATGAAGGCAAGGTAGTAGTTTTCACCAATGCCGCGTTCGCTATACGCCTCAGACACGGCCATGGCGAGAATGGCGTTGCAGATAAGCCACGAGAGCACCATGTAGGTACGCACGCTCTTATAGTAGTCTTCCTGCAGCTGCGCCTCGGAGATGGGCGAAGGGGCAACCTCGACGCGATCGCGGAGGTTGCGAAGCGCCTCGTCGTAGCCCGAGTCGATATCAAGCTGCTCGGATGGCATCTCAAGCTCGACACTGTTGCCCTTTCCGATGGCGCCACCCAGATCAGTCTTCATAACGTTGTCTCCCTTGGTACCCCAGGTAACGTCGTGCGTGTTGCAGAAGGCGTATACTTGCAGAGTGCAGATGTACGCAGGCAGAAGCATGAAGTACTGAGCCGCACTGGTGAACAAGTGCCAGGGATCCAGGTACAAGAAGGACATGACGAAGTACAAGCCGATAGTCGAGAGAATCGAGACGATGAAGTTGGTGAAGACGTTTTCGCCCATGTGAATCTCCGGATTGTCCTTCTCCTTTAGCTGACGGATGACGATGTAGAAGGTGGCGAACGTCGTGTAGATCATGATGATGCAATACACGACGATACTAAAGAGGTACAGTTTCTTTGCTCCCTGCGGCCGATTACCTAGCGATAGGATGAATTGCGCGCAGATGAGCAAGACACATGTGTATCGTAGGACCGTGAAGATGTATTGACCAATATTGTGACCGAAGGGATCTACCAGGGGATCGCCTAGACCGCCTGCGACGAAGTAGAAGGTCAGGTAGAAGTTTGCCAGGGAGAAGTAGGTGAAGATGAGCTGCAGGAACTGGTAGATGAATTCGATGTGAAGGAGGATCTTGCGAGTGATGGTGTGATCAGTGTACCAAATTTGCTTGAAGTGAACGAGCGAGTACACAGCAGCGAAGAAGGCACCGTTTAGCCAACGACGTCTCTGCGAGATAAACTCTGGAACAGTATCTATGGGGTTGGTTAGTAATTATAGAGTTTGGTGGGAACAGATCTCTTACCTGGCACATCAGTTTCACCGTGGCATCCCTTCACATACTTCAAGACCCAACTCTCGCCGCGCTTGGCGACAAGCTCCCAGCAGAGGATACGATCCTCGGCGAGGTACATGTTTGCCGTGAACACGTCTGCATGCTGACCGTGCAGTGTCTCTCCCTTGAAGTACTGACTGAGAGGACCGTGGCCCGTCTCGTCGTTCTGCAAAGCGTGGTATCGGTAGGCACTGAGCGCACCGGGCAAGACGGTAATGTACCCGAAGATTGATTCAAGAGGTTTGTCGAGAATGTTGGACATCTTGTACTCGAAGTTCTGAGACGCGACAAGGGGGTTCAGGAGGTTCACTCCAAACTTGCCCTTCATGGCCTTGATCTCTCCGCAAGCACCGGCAACGTTGGAGTCGTTGTCAAAAGCCTTCCAGAGGTGGTAAAGGGATGTACCGCCGGGTCTGGTACCGACATCGAGCAAGATGCACACGTTGGGGTTAAGAGCCTTGCCGAAAGCATTGAAGAACCAACGGTGGGAGTTGAGCTTCCTCTGGTTCTTCTCCTTCAGACAGAAGATCAGCTGGCAGGGCACGATACCCTTTTCGGCACCTTTGAACTTCAGATCGGAATCGAGCGAGACTTGTGTTGTGTACTCGTAGACGTGGGCCTGCACTGCCTTCTGGTTGACGTAGTTCTTGGCGATGCCGTGCTGGTAGACACCCATTGCCGCCAACGCGTCGAGCGTGCGAGGATGAATCTTTTCTCTGCCGTCAGACACAATGCAGACGACAATCTTTTGCCAACCATTGTCACCCCACGTGCGCGATTTTGAACGGGCGCAGAAGTGGGAGATGTTCTTCATGACGGCGTACATGGTTCTCGTGAAGCCAAACTCGTCTTCGTTGTACATGGTGACACAGATGAACAGTTCCGTCTCGCGAGCAGTCTTGCCAATGGACTGGCGGAGTTTGTATCCGCGTTCGACAAAGTCATCGGGGTCGCAGGTGACGGCTGTGTATCTCATGTGGGTGAACTCGACCTCGTCGCGGCGAGGCAAGAAGCTGTAAAGAATCGTGGGAATTTTGCACTCCAAGACCAGCTCTCCGTTGATAAGCTGGACCTCCTTTCTCGACATCTGAGGTGCGCGAACACCTCGGCGCTCTTGCATTCCATCCGGAGCCGGGCCGTAATGCTCTACCTTCTCATTGATGTCGGTCTCTGTATCTTCCTCGCTCAGCGTAACCTGGTCGTGAGACATGTACGATTCTCTCATCGGCTGGCTCTCACTGATGTCGGTCTCGGGTCCGAATACGTCGTCGTTATCGTGAAGAGGGATAGAAACGGTGGCGTCGTCGGCAAAGGCAGCAGAGTTGCGGTTCGCACCAGTCGAGAACAAGGGCGCAGGCGGAAGCGGGCGTCGGGGGCTACCGCCGTATCTGGAAGATGGAGTTCCCGGTCTGGGGCTGCCATTGAGGTCTGATGGCTCGTAAATGCCCGAGGCAGGTGGTCTCGTGAAGTCTGACGAGAGGCGCGAAGGGCTGTATGTCCTCGTTGGTGAATGACGTCCTGACTGGTACTCGTACGGGTAGTCGTCCTGATACTCTTGCTCGTAGGTGCGCTCGTACTCGCGGGCGTAGTCGCGGCCTTGGAAGGGAACGTAGGTCGAGTCGGGCGGCGGCATGCTCGGGGGGTCTCGAATGGACGCGGAGCGGTCAGACAAGATGGACGACGCATAGGATCGTCTGCTGGATCGGGGCCTATTTGTCTCGTCATGTGAGCTTGTGCTTATGGTATTGGTAGAACCATCTGACAACGGAGGAACAGGACAGCTAGAGGACTGGTGCGGTAGAGTCTTCCGCAGCGAAGGACCCTCCGGTATAGTGGGGAGACTGTCCCGAAGTTGCGATTCTCTGGTGGAGTTGGGCCTGGTCCTCTTCTGCAACTTTACAGTAGAAGACCGCACCGGTATGCGAGAGGTGCCCTGAGCGTCTGCAAAGTCGACAACGCCCACGCCACTTGAGCGCGGTGTGTAGACGGGTGCTAGGGACAAGGGTGAAGTTGGATTTCCTTCCTCCTGCTGCCTCAATGCGTCGAGGTGGTCCGGCGTAGAGATCACCGGGTCTGTAGCGTCTGACTTCTTCCTGCGCAGCGATAGAGGGCGTGGGAAGAGGCTGGGCGACGACTCGGGTGTCTCGTGAACCTGGCGAAGGCGAGGAATGGAAGAAGCGGAAATAGGAGTAGTAGCAGCAGTAGAAGAAGAAGCATAATGAAAAGGTCGCGATGCGCCCTTGGCGCCGCTGACTGGTGTTGAAGCCGAAGTCGACTGCTGAGGCGCTGTGGGAGTTACGTACGGTGCTCTGTCCATGATGGGCTCCTCGACTGAAGTCAGTAGTCGAATGGCGGCGGGATTGTTGGAGCGTCCCGTGGGAGTGTCGTCGTCGCGGTCGTCGTAGGGTGGGAGGCTGTAGTCGGGCGGTCGCGAGGGGGTATTTGGGTCCATGATGAGATGTTGTTTGCGCCGCCGGTTACCGGGACGAAACAATTAGAGGAATGCTGGACTGGATTGTTGTTCAAGGGCCTGGTCTCGTATGGGTGTTCTTTGTTTGCAACGGGCCGGCGCCACGATGGGATTGTGTGGGCGAGGGATTGACGTAGCTCAGGTTGGCCTCGTGGCGTCAATTCGGGTCCTAGTAAGTGTCTCGATGATTGGAATGAGGGTCCAAGATGTAGGTGTGAGGGTGTAAGTGTCGAAACTCGACAAAGAGTAGCGCCGTTGGAAATTCTCAATGGGAATTCCAAACGGCAAGGTTGGTGATGGTGGTAGTGGTGGTGCTAGAGACTAGCTTTTTGGCAAAGTGGGATGGATCTCGAGAGATGATATGAGAGGGAGCAATGTGCGAGAGAGCAGCAGCAGCAAGGGAGGTAAAGCATCTGGGCAGAGCTGCGGGAAGGAGGGTCAAGTGTTGGGGAGGCTGGGGGGCAGTCAGGAAAAAAAACGTGGATGGGCAAATCACTCTGCGTCTGTAACCTGCGCCATTCTCTTTCTCACCTCACGGGTACGCTGCACCTTAGTGTCTCTTTTGCTCCCAGCGCATCCGCGAGTGTGTCGAGGGGCAACAGGGCGGATCGGGGACTTTGATCGCGTTGACGGGGCAACGAGACACGACTGCAGGGGATTCGTGTGGTGTCCCGGCTGCGAAAAGCGGGCCGGTGAGGTACAGCGCAGGGGGGCTGAGCCTGTTCGTGGGACCTCGTAGCGGTTAGCGGCTTCTTAGCGCCCCTGGGGCCCGCTGACCGTTCCTGAACCTGTCGCCCAAAATGGATTGATTACCTCACCTTAGCTAAGGTACGAAGTACCGTGGGTCGTCACTCACCTGCACATGCACCTCATCACTCCGCCAAATCTGTCAACTCTTGCACCCATGGCCACAACACGATCTTTGCGCCAAACGGTAATGGCAATGTAGCAAGGTAGCTCTGACAGGCCCACGGTGGAGGAGGGCTTGGATGATTTGCTTTTGGTATGCAACGTCTATCTTTTCCACATGCGGCTCTTTCTACGGATACACTTTGGTACCCAACATCTGAGATATCTATCCCACATGGATGATGTGCAGCTCACCTCCGGGGTAAACAATCACCTACCTGCTTCTATATCCACCGAATAGTCTATTCTCCGTTTTGCCCTCATCCTCTCAATACTCTTGTCCTTTTGGACCAACTTGTTCTCCTTCATGTGAAGTGCCAAGAAAAACATGGGGCCCAGGTTATCATACACCCCAAAGAGCCCTCCACCGCTTCTCATCCGTCCTCAAAGGCCCATCAAACCGCCCGAACCGTGCCGGCAACCCCTCGTTGGCCTCGGGCAAGCAAATCCACTCCCGCACGCAGTCCGGCACCTCCTCCTTGATGTGACTAATACAGATCAACGCCTGCTCTTCACTCAACCCCCTCACGCGCACCCGGCCCGCCTTGGCTACCTCGCTGTCTACGATCTTCTCCCCGCTGTACGTTTTCTCTTCTCCCGTGGCGAGGAAGAGCATACACTTGTCTCTGACAGCATCGTCCATCCCACTGAAAGCCTCATCGAGCACCACCACGTCGGCGTTTTTGATCACGGCCCGCAACAGCAGCGCGATCCGCTGGGCGCTGAAGGAGAGGCCACCAAAGAGGTAGTTATCTGACCATGAGAGGTCACCCTCGCCCGTGACAGAAGAAGACGCTGCCTTTTGATATCCCGGGTTCAACTCCGGCGTGAACCACCGCAGCGTCGCCTCAACCTTCCCCCGTGCCTCCTCATCCAACACAGGAATGCCCTTGAACGTATCCGCCCACGCATTCTCCAACACCTGTCGAACAGTCAGGCCGCGGGGCATGTGCTGGTGCACCTCGGGACTCGAGTGTCCAATCCGTGACTGAATATCCCAAAACGTGACAGGCCGCTGTCCGGACCCGGGCTCGGGCAGTCTGCTCCGGCCAAACAGTTTGATGGGAAGAGAGTACGTCTGCGGGTGATCGGAGCACAGTAGAGACACGACGGTCGTCTTGCCCGACCCATTCGGACCGAACACACCCCATCGCTCCCCTCGCCGGACAGTCCAGATCAACCCGTCCTTGGGCCCGGAAGGAGTCTCCTGAGACCAGTTGCCCAGCGCGATCTTGTTCCCGTACCGCACCTGACACCCATCCATCTCAATCAGCGGTTCACCCACGGCCATCGAGGCCGACTCCTCAGCAGCAGCAGAAGAAGCAGCCTCAACAGCATGCGAATCCTTCTCCCCAGCCGACAAAAGCCCATCCCCCTCCACCCCTCTCGCCGTCAACACCTTCCCCATCTCCACAAGCGAATGCACGGGCAACCTCTCATCCTCCTTCAACCCACCCTTCCACACGCCCCTCACATACGTCCTCAACCCCTCCAACACCTCCTCCTTAGGCCCCATCGACCCGACCTGACAATCCCCGCGCAGATACACCAAATGCGTAATCCACTCGGGCAACGGATCCTGCGGCCGAGCACTCAACACCAGCCTGGGGCTCGCCCGCTCCGCGATCCCCTCCAACACGGGACTCAACCCAGCCACGGTCGGGGGGTCAAGCCCCATAAATGGCTCATCCAGCAGCAGCACCTCCGGCGTCGACAGCAGCGCCCTCGCGATGCGCGCGCGGCGGCCCTGGCCGTTACTCAGGAACGCGACGGGCAGATCCAGCAGCGGCTCCAGCCTCAGGTCCTTCACGACCCTCTCCACGAGCTCCGGCGGCATCAGGTTCTCCTCTCCCGGTAAGGTGTCGAGAGGATTCAGCTCCGTGTTGCCCAGCAAGTAATCCCGCAGCGAGAAATCCGTATTCTCCCTCCTGGACTCGTACCGCGCAGCGAGGTACGCACTGGTAGTATGCCCGCCGCCCAACCCACCGTCGCCGTCGAAGCCAACATATTGTATCGCTCTGTTGGCGCTTCTCAGGCGCGGCGGGACGGCCTCGGTGGAGAGGTACGGGTACGTTCGCGCCGTGGGCGGGATGGCGAGGTGCTGGCCGCGGAGGACCTGCAGCAGCGTCGTCTTGCCCGAGAGCGAGGGGCCGACGATGCACCAGTGGCTCTTGTTCTTGTCGGCGGCGGTGGCGGAGGACAACTCGAGGTTCAGGTCTGTGAAGAGGGGCGGGTTCGGGTGCGTGGTGTGCGTGTTGGGGTGGCGCCGGTAAAAGGAGCCGTTGGCGATCCTTAGGATCGGGGGAGAACGATTCGGTATCCTCATTGTGATTGTACGAGTGTGTACGTGTGCCTGCTTCAATGGGAGAGGATGAGCGAATCACTGTTCAGAGCGAGTGGAATCAATGTCAATTGACCACCGTTACCCTTGATATCGCGTCGTTAGGATAGTCGTGGGATGAAATTCACATTGTGACTCTTTCCTTCTCCTCCCAAAAAGAAAAATCCGGGGCAGCTTTCCCCGGACTTTTTGGCAGGAAGTACGTAAAACCAGCTGCGATCTCGGTGTCGAAGCTCGGCCATCATCGCCCCACCTGTGAAGTGGATCCGTGTCCGGGGACCGGAAAGAAAAGACCGACAGGGATCAGGTAAGCTAAGGATCGAGGTTGCCGCGCCTGCATTTCAGCCTGGAAGTCACGTGCAGACATCCTCGCTGAGGTAATGGCGGGACCGACTGGGTAGCAGCAGCCAGCAGGCACGCCGGAGAGCTCCAGGCACATCAACGCAGCGCAAGCTCCCATAATCGTCACTCCGCCCGTTCAGCCCCATCTCAATCAACACGATCCCCCAAAACGAAACCTCTCTTCCCAACAACCACAGTCACCCTCAAAGAACAGTCAAGATGTCGGTATGTCATCCTCCACTAAGCCAACCATCTCCTCCCTCCCCCCCAATCCACCCCATATTCCCAGAAGCTAATACCATCTCCCCCTCAAGATGCGAATCGTCCCCGCCGCAAACCAACCCACAACCTTCGCCGCAGGCGCCAACGCCCCCTCGGCACCTGGCGTCCACGACACCCTCCGCGCCGGCGTAGGCCAGTCCGCCTACGACGCCAAAGAAAACGTCGCCGCCTCCGCCCACCCTCTCGAGTCCCGCCTCAAGAACTGGGAGGCAACCCAGGAAGGCATGCGCATGGAGACGCTCCGCCGCACCTTCGGCCTCGCGGAACCCATCCGCCGCCAGATGGAACTCAAGATTACGCAAAACGGCGAGTGGAGGCCCCTCGCCCTCGGCGGACAAAAGGCCTCCGTCCACGAGGAGATCCTCCGCGGCAAGGACTCCAGCGTCACGTGGGAGGACGTCTACTCTGGCGAGGAGAGCGTGGGCATCGTTGGTATGCACGACGAGATGGAGAGGAAGCTCAAGATTTGAGAGAGGAAGAGACAGAGAGAGCCCGAGAGATATGACGGGGTTGGAATGACCGAGAGCGGACCTGGGCTCCTGGATCAGAGGAATGCGACAGGAGGACCGGGGTTGGAATTGTATTACTACGATATGCGTCATGACCTCAGTACGGCGCGGCAAAGGAACTGTCAAGGCCATAGAAGGGATTCACCGAAGCGTCCAGGTTCAACGGAAAGATGGAATAGAATGCGTTCTACTATCCTATGGACAACACCCATAGATGGGGCGCGGAGAAGAATCAACCAGAACAAATACACAAAGCTATGATACGCCGCTGTACTCCGAATGTCCCCTTATTGTCTTCGCTCTTTGTAATACGCTCGATGGATGTCGGGGTGGCCTCCATGGAGAGAGACACACAAGACATGAGAAAAAAGTAAAAGACCCATCGCAACACCGTGACCGTAGGCCTCGCCAGGCCGACTAGCCCATCCATTCTGGGCACTTCTGGAATTGCATGCATTGTCGAAACCATGACCCCGGCTAGGCCCCTGCCTCTTTGTATCGTGTACCGTACCATGCAGAGCACTCAAGCCAGATTAACCCAGTGGAGTCTTTTCTCGCCTGCTCTTCTTCCATGCATGTCATTCTCACCACTAGAAAGGAATGGCTCTTGTTCGGCGGGGACGAGATGTTAAAGGAAAGGAATGATGATCGCAGAAGAAAAAGGCCCAGATCTTGGGACCGCTCGATCATAAGATAACACAGCATCCGCCGCCACCTTCTCGGTTGCGGCCGCCGCCAGAGGTTGACTTATTGCCTCCCTTAGGTTCTTCTTCCTCAACGATATCGGCTGGCCGGACGGTCATGTGTACAACGTTGGCTGCCTCTGCACTGAAGTGGTATTCTGGAACAAGGTTAGATCTATCAAGGAAAACGCAGATGTCAGGGAGAACCTACGTTTCAATTGGTCCTTATCGTCCAGCAGCTTTCCGAAATGAATCAAACGTATACTGCTGGGGCTCGCAGGCTTGGCATCCCATTCTTCACGCCACTCCCTGAGGATGAGTTCCTTCAAGGTATAAACACTGATAGTGAAGGGGTCCTTCTTTCCAGCCTCGGTCAATCCAGGAACATTGACGTTTCTCTTTGTCAAGTACTTTTCGTCCAATTTGTAAGGGTGTCTTGCACCAGTGGTGAGCAACAGGGTGATGTTGCAGACTGGGCCATCTGCTGGAGAGTTGGTGACGGGCTGGACGTCATCGACAGAGGGACCGATGGCCATGGAGTCATCCTGAGTCTTGGTCGCTGGCGACGAAACCGAGTCCTTCTCCTTTCCTTTGGTCGACGGCTCGATTGAATCGTCGGCATCGCCCACGGCCGACGTGCTGGCTTCAGGCTGTGTTGACGCCGCAGCGCCGGGTGTCTTGCTTGATGAAGTAGTCGTCGGCCTCGTTGTGTCTGCTGCGGCGGCGTCGGCTTCCGTCGACGAGGATTGAGGAAGGGTCTTCATTGGAATGGTATCCTTTGGTGCCGCCGAAGAATCCTTGGGTGGTTGGCCGACGGTCGTGTTGGCGTCGGCGGGTTTGGTATCGGCCATTGCGGATCACAGGCAAGAGCAACGGCAGCGTCGAGCCTCGAGGAGCGCGGGCTCGTGGTGAATGTGATTGGAACCGAATCGGATACAGTGGCTCAATGCATGCGGCAGTCTGCGAAAAAATTGAGGATATTTCGACGAGTGGGATCTCAGTGTTTCGCGGAAGAGAATCGGGGGGGATGAATTGCAGTCTTCGGGTGAGACGGTCAGACGCAGAGGCACGGCGACGCAGAGACGCCAGTCGGGATGGTACCAGTTGGCGTGGGTAGCGAGGCCGGTGTTGTGGCAGTTGCCAGGATTTGGGGGGGTCGTTTAGGATGTTGGACGGGAACGCTGAAGGCGGAAGCGGGTGGTAAAGGCGGGTGATCAGTGCATCCAAAGCGTGGGCGTTCGACCAGTCCAAGTTCAAGTCCAACCAGCGAGGTGGGAAAAAGGAAGGATAAAATGGAGACCCGGGGCCGAGAGTTGGAGAAGGAGACGTGGGAGAGAGGACCTGACGGGAATGTCGAATGGGGAGATGGCTTGGCGGAACTTGGGAGGCGTGGCTCGTGGGCCGTGGGCCGTGGGCGTTGTCTCTCTTTTCCACCTGCACTCCAGTCTCCAGTCTCCAGTTTCCAAGTGCTGGGCTCGGCTGGGCAGGCTGGGGACGCTGCTTTGCTGAGGCCGGGCGAGTGGACTGGCTGACTGACTATACTACCACACTACCTAGTAATCCAGACTAGGCAAGGTAGGTAGGTTGAGTGGACGGGCTGGGCTGGATGGCTCGGCAATGGATTCCGTTCCAACTTCCAATTTGTGCTGGAGGCGAAAGAGTCGCGGAGTTTGCCAGGTACGTGTGCGAACAAATCTTCTCTGTCGTCGGTAGGGAAGATCATGTGAGTTTGCTGCTGGTAGATGATTGTACTCGTTCCTGAGTATCCGTAAGGTGTGGTTACCTAAGGAAGGTCGGTCGGTAGGGGAGAGCGGTGCTTCGCTGCCGAAGCGGCGTTTGGTTGTCTCCTGTCTCGATGGTTGCCCTCAAGCTCTTCCAGGCAGGAATGTCCCTCTAGGAACAGTACGTGAGTACCTACCTTATGGCAAGGTAATCGAGGTGGGCACGTATGTAGAGACGACTAGACAGGGTGGTGCTGTGACGATGTACCCGGCAATCACGTCGTCTCCCGTCGAATTTCCGAGCGGTCGGTATTAGTCGAGTCGTGCAGGCTGTTTCGTCTATCAGGCCCTCCTTGACAAAGCTGCTACGGCGGAGGCGGCGGCGATGGCGATAGACGCGGCGGCGGCGGATACCGGCAGCAAAGGGCGAAGCCGATCAAGGGTCGAGGATGCTGTGGAGGGTGTCACAAGCTTGCTCTCTTTTTTTTCTTCCTCTCGGTCATCGAGTTCCAGCCGCTGTCCCGGTCCTAAATCTCGATGTTTGATGATGCTTCTCGGTCGTGGGTTAGCTGCTTAGAAGACAGAGAGTAGGACCGGTGCAAAGTACCTATTTCAAATCGAGACTGGCCAGCAAGCAGCAACAACAACCGCGCATTCAAGATGTTGGCCGGAATTGCAACCGCCGCGAATGGAGAGTTTGTGGGTTGATGAGAGCAGAGCAAACGGCGTGGTTGCTGTAGTTTCCCTCGATCTTCCTCAGTTAAGGTACCTACTCTCGCGGCTCCCTGCCTCTTGATGCAAGTTTGACTGATTCCTTCTTTCCCAATCCTTGACAATGATACTTGTCGTGAAGTACAGTCCATCTAGTGGAAGACAATGCGAGTACCTGAGAATGTCAGGAAGGCGCACCTCAGACGTAAAGAGAAGGAGCAACCATGAAGCTGGAAGAGGATAGAACCACTTTCTCCAGGTCTTCCTTCCCATCTCCTTTTCCAATTCCTCAAGATCCTCAATTCTAGTGTTTCCCTAATGCTTCCTCCTCCCTTCATCTATTCTATACTTGCACCATTATTCGCCATCTGATCGCATGCTCCTCTCAGTCAAAGAATCCAAGTGCGCACCAATTGACAATACATCGATACATAAAGATACCATTCCGAGTATTTTCACGCCTGCTGGACTCGGTCATAGCTAGCGCACTCGCTAACTCGACCGCGGCGTCCACGGGTGCCCTCCGCCGCCGTCACCGCTCCAGAAGACAGGACGCTATTATTTCGCAATGTGACACATTCCCAACCGCACGCACCGTTCGCATTCCTTCCGTCTCCAGATCTGGGCGTCTCGCGGGGGAAACGGGAACGGGAGCGAGGGAATGGAAAGGATCAAATGGCACACGCGCCGTAACAGAGGAAACGCACCCAGACGCTGCCTGTCAAATTTCCAACCGTCAGTGCCATTGCCACTAATCCAGACCAACCACCCAAATACCTACAGCAATCTATCAGTTCACCTGCAGTCAGCCGCATCATCAGTCGGTCGAGGCTGTGTCGGTTCCGATACGTACCCACCGATGGTGCCCTCACCGGTTCAGTTCCCCTTCCTCGCAGGGACAGGCCAGTCTGCGGCCCCCGCCACGGCGCCCCATCTCTGGGCATCCGAAATCCCCTCATTTTCCTCAACTCAAGCGCGATATAGAAAGATAGACGTGCAATGTTTCAGCGGCACCCCATACGCGTGTGGGAAACAGATCCGTCAGAGGGTACGGCAGGCAACAGAAAAAGCGGCTGGATTGGATACAACCTCGCAGCATTACAAGACGTACGGTTGGCTTCGTCACCGCTTTGTGTTTTCGCACTCTCACGCCTCCCAGGACCATCAGATTAGTGTGTGAGGGTGTTATGTTGATGTTTCTGAAGATGGGATAAGACTGTCAGGAACCCGAAACTCTCCTCAGGCTTATTTCGCCCGTCGCCCCATGGACTTATTTGACACCAATGCAACACGCAGGCACGGAGGAAACCAATGTAGTGCACGCACATACTCAAAACCAAAAGAGTCTACAGGAGAAGCATTCGAAGGCTAGCGACGCAGAGCACGAGCTTTCCATGCTTTGGCCTGTTGTCTTGCAAGCTGGTGCTCTGCAACGTCCAGACGAAGTACGAGATCCTCGTTACAGATCTGCTAGGACAAGGAGAGCCACCCACCTATGCCAGGTTCATATGTTCACTGGGCGGGACACAGGCCCTGGGCAGATCTGATGGCAGTACCTAACACGGGTAGAAGAGTAATCGTTAACTCATAGGACTGCCGCATCCAGACGCCCCAAGCTTTTCGGACCAGATCGTCTGCGTTGTTGTCGGGCGCCCAGATCCATCCACGGCTCCAGCGGAAAAGATGCCCGGGGTTCCCAACCAATCCCTTCGAGGATAGGGGACTGTCGACGATGGCCAGCCATGGCCCACCGAGAGTAGTCCGAGTCTCCTTCTCCTTTGGGTCACTGTTGACGTCTTTTTAACACCATTGTCCAGATCCTTCATCGGGGAACCGGGAACGGTGCAATGCCCCAGTACCCGAATTACGATTGAAGTGAATGTCTCTCGTTCTGACTTTCGCCCAACGACTCGAAAAACAGAAAAATGCGAAGAAGACAACGTGGAATAAGCAGTATCTGAAATCCATCATTGGTTGGCGACACAACCTTCGAATCGGGATCCACGATCTCTGTCCGGGCAGAAATCGCGGGGTGACGGAAGAAACAACGAAGACCCCACTTGCTTGCGCCGGTCCGCCCAAAAGCTGTAGACCAAGATACAGCCCCAATAGACCGGCATTGCGCCCAAGTCTTAGTTGGCCTGCCCGAGTTGTCGACCATATCGTCACAAACAAGAGCAGAAGCTGATACCGATTTACCGACCGTGCCGACTTTGTCTTACCTAAGGTACTGACGGGAATCAAGACCACGGCACCAACCCAAAGCCGGAGCCGGACTTGTGTGCTCCGCCACGCTCCGCGGCTCCTAATGACTGCTCTCCTTTCACATTTATCAAAGGGACCACGGCTTGCCTACATTTCTGGAGTACGGCTCAGGAGCCTAGGTATCCCATCGGCCCCTTAGGCCTGCCCATTCCTCATAGAACTCAAGGTTTAGGCCGGACCCCTTAGACCTCCCGTCGAGGCCCGCCGCTAAACAAACATCTGTCGTGCGCCCGCATTGCACGACTTGGTCTCGTCTTTGTCTGAACTCTCCAATGGCTTTTTAAGACCAAATCTCATCACATCTCAAGCCTGTCGGTTCTGGCACCTATTTGCGCATGCATCGAAGAACGTATCAGATAGGAGAAATGACGAAGGAAGATTCTATTTTCTGCGCAGAATCTTTGGATTCCATGCTGTGTCCTTTCTTATTCCATAAGTCGAGGAAATGCCGGCCTACTTATACTCACTCAGAGAGATACATGAACATGCTAGTATATACCATCGAAAGGAAATCATATGTAGAGATATACTCATAAAGGCTAAGCTTTCTTACGCGCATAGTGCATAAAATCCAATACAACTGGGTACAGCCTCAGGTGGGTAAGTACCTTAGGCCAGGCAGTCAGGTATGCTGGAAGTTGGTCTTCATCCTCGAGCACACGGAGATCAGTATAGCTAATAATTTCCTCGAATTTGCTAATTATCAACTTTTGCCTCACACTGCCATTACTAACATACCGAGGATATCCTTTCGTTTCGTAGCCTACAGTCAAACAAAAATCCTCCTCCTCCTCCAACACACATCCCACTGAGCTCGTCGTCGCATGTGTCGTCTCACAGCACCAGCAAATCACCATTGCTCCCCTGCGCCGGCTGCACCACCTGCTGCGGAGCGTGCTGATTCACCACATACCCCGTCTCGTAACCCCCAGTCTCACCAAACACGTCTCCCTGGTCGATCCTCATGGCGGCCATCTGCTGCGGTCCGATACTGTTAAAGTACGCGTCCGCGTCGTTGACCGCCTGCGCCATTTCGCCGTTGGCCGCCGCCGGGTCGTTGGCGATGTGCTGGCCGTGCATGTTGTAGTCCTGCGCCTGTCCGCCCATGCCGAGCATGCTGAGACTCTTTTGGTTCTCGATGGACGTCGGGAGGAGGTGCTTCTGCAGCGCCGGCGAGTCCGTCAGCTTCTTGGGTCGCGCCGAGCGGAAGACGGTCTGCACCGGCTTCAGGTACACCGTAGCGAGCGTGCCGACGTTGAGGCACATCTCTTCGAGTGTGGCCGGGTCGAGGCGCTCGGATTCGGCCGTGATGGGCGGCTTCTCGCCCATGACGATCTGCTTGGCTGCGGCCATGTCTGTCGACAGAAGTCGCCAGTACATGTACGCTCTGTCGCGAAGATCCGGGTTATCCGTCTCTTCCGTCGCCCATTTGAGGACGCGAGGCACCAGCTCTTGACCCTTGGTCGGTCTCTGGATAAAAAGCTTGACGGTCGCCGTGAGCAGTGCGAGCTGCACCTCTACAGGCTCTTCCGCAAACGAGTACAAAAAGTCTTCCAAGAGTGCCTCGCTGTTCTCTATTCTGTCCGCGTACTGTCCAATGACCCAGACCATGGCAGCCTTTGCTTCCGGCTCGTCGAGAGAGTCGAGATGCTCGCAGAGGGTGCCGATGATGGACTCGTACTGGTTTGGATACTTGCGGAAGATGTTTCTAATAACGACCGTGGCCTCCTGTACAATATACGTGATCTTGGTCGCAACCAGTTCGAGGAGCAGGTTGATACACTGCCGCGCTGCCGGCTCGATCTTGATAGCCAGCTTGCCTATCGCTCGCACTGCCTTGCGAACGAAGTGAACGTCGATTTCCGTCGCGTACTCTCTAAGTTCGGTGAGGACCTCATCAATGTTGTTTTCGTTGGCGAGCATGAAGATGAGCTCGAGCTTCGTGACCTTTACGTAGATGGGGTCGTTGTACTTGCAGAAGAAGACGCGAATGTCGTTGCGCAAGACTTCAGGTCGACGCTGCAAGATCAAGAGAGCGTTTCGTAGAGCGAGGTACTGTACTTCTGGGCCCTTGGCAAGGAGCGTCACCAGGGGGGGAGATAGCTTTTTGCACAGAATTGCGATCTGTCTCTGGTCCGAGATGTAGTTCATGAGATACAGAACGACGCGGATGCAGGTGAGCACGACGGCCGAGTTTGAATGTGAAAGGCGCGGCGATATGCGCTCTGCAAGAAGCAAGGCTTCCCCTGACTCTTGGGGCACATATGACATGAGTGCCTCGAGGATATATGTTTGACCCCATCTGCCATGATTGTCAGCAACGGCCTTTGCAAAGCGATAGTTAGTACCCACTCTGAGCAGTCGGGAAGGATAGCCACCATCTTGGAGGCATTGCTGTAGTCGATGGTGAGCTTGATAGCGTCACTACGCTCCCAAATGTCCATCAACGATGCTAGCGCACTGGCCACTACGGTTGGGTTGTCATCTCTGAGAAGTGTGTTGAGCCTGTCGATTAGATCTGACCCCTCGATCATGCGCCTATCGTGGTCGTAAAGTTTTGCGACGCAGAAGGCGGCCGTCTTCCTCACGTATGGATCCGCATCCTTCAACATATGCTTGACCAAAGGCACAGTCGCCTCGACGAATTCCCGGACATGTATGTAAGACATCGTTCGCAGGGCCAAAGCTCTGACCAGCGGATTGTGATCTTCCATATCCTGGGGCGACGTTAATCAACTGACTTCTCAGAAAGTCAAGGGGCCGCGCTCACCTGCTCCAGGACAGGAATGGCCTGGACGGCAATTTCTGGTCGCATCCTGGCGTAGTTGACCAGGAACAAGAAGCACCTAAATGGTTCGTCAACACCTGAATACCCCGTGGGGAGCTATCGGGAAGTAGTACATCTTCTTGATCTCGAGACTCTGGATATGCATGCAGCCGATGATGTCGGGGAATAGCGCGACCATATCATTGTTGCTCATGGTCATGTTGGCGACGATCTTCTTCAGCGCAATCTTCTTGCTCGCATAGTTCTTGTCCTTCTTGCCGCCGCTGTTGAGTTCCAGCCGCAATTCTGCGACTTTACCCTTGGAGGTTATTAGTTTATTGACGTAAGTCGGCGGGGGCACGTAGGCCATAAACATGGCGGGCGACACATAGGACGACAGCATCCAACGTAGAAAATGTGAGGTGAGGTGAAGGATTGCGCCGGCAACGTATGATGAGAGGGGAAGCTGAAGCTCGAGGCCGCAAGGCACAGCAAGGCTGGTGGTATTGGGGACGGCGGGGCAGACAGTACGTAGGAATAACTCCCGGATAACAAGCTCAGCTTGTCTCAGACAAATATCAGAGGATTTTGGTACAGAATTCGCGAAGGATGTTGTCCAACGGCAAGACATGTATGCGCAACGAAATTAGGAGAGACAAGAACGAATTCTTACCCTGGCAAACAACTTGGAGTCTCCTCCACCCTGTGCGCTCGACATGATGGCGGCTTTCTCCTGGTATCAGACACAACGGTCGGTGTGGTGGCGCGTAGTGCGATTCTCAGACAGGATCCCTCCGAATGGGTGTCCCGACAAGCTCTCTGCCGGTTCTCGATCGCGTCGTGGTGGGCGATAACACCCTAGGACCCCTCACGCCCAGCTGCGCGATGTATGTCGACTTTGGCTTCCCTGTACTAGGGCCAAGCCACTCGATCGGAACGGGGTCGCAAAAGTTGGCGGGAAGACGCAGTGCTTCCTTGACTTGTCTTGGATGGTGGGAGGGGTGCAGAGGCAGAAGGGATGTCACATGCGTCGTTGGTACCGGGGGGGTTGCGGCCAATCGAAGAGGCCTCTGCTTGATCAACGTGTCGTCGAGCTGAAATGCCGGACAACCTTCTTTTTGTCTCTACACCAGCTGCTGAGGCCGATGTCTATCGTACGTGGGTTTGGGAGGAGGATTCGCTTCGCTCGGTGTGACGGTACGGGGTGCGGTCGGCTGTCGTTTATTTCTCGCGGGCAATCCGGGGATGCGATTTCCAGTTGTTTAAGGGGAAGTTCAATGTGGGATTCCCAAAGCTCCCACCGTTCCGCAGTGGAGTGCGACAGGTCCGAAACTGGGCCTTATCGGTCAGCCGATAAAGAATAAGCGCAGCCGCTGTCAATGGACGGGAACCGCGTGGGGTGCACGTCGGATTGTGTTTCCAGGGTTTAGCCGGCCCCTTTTTGTGGAGAACTGCTTTCCAACGACAGCCCGTCATCACCCACCAGCGCGCGAACTGCTTGCCAGCTTTCGTCTCAATACCTGCATCCGAATCTACTGAGCTTCCGACCGCGCGCTCAACTAACGAAGCTCGACATACACACTCCGATCATGGCTTTGGTCAATGGTGATGTACCGCGATGGGTGGCAGACCTACAGTCTCCCCCTGCTGCTAAGTCCAAGGTCCCCGGCATCTCCGATCCGCCAGGCTACCCGTCGCAGACCTCGTCCAGCTCCAAGGTAAGCTCGTTGCGGCCCCGCTCAAACATTCATCGGAAGCTAACTTGTGTTTGTAGAAGCAAAAGGACCAGAAGGCTATTCAGCCGCGCAAGCAACAGACACCCGAAGAGATGGATACTCTGAAAGTCAAGAAGGCGTGGGAGGTGGCGCTCGCCCCCGTCAAGAACCTGCCAATGACAGCAATCATGATGTACATGTCTGGCAACTCGCTCCAGATCTTCAGCATCATGATGGTCTTTATGGCTTTCAAGAACCCTTTGATGGGCCTCACTGCGGTCAACCAGGCATTCGAGAGATTCGAGTCAGAAACAAACAAGGCCAAGATGCTGCAGGTTAAGCTGGCATACGTCGCTATGCAATTCGTGGCCCTGGCCCTGGCTGTTTGGAAGGTTAACTCGATGGGACTGCTGCCGTATGTATACATTCAAAGCTTTGGGCACAAAAGAAATGCTAACGCGGAAGTAGGACAACGAGGTCAGATTGGTTGGCTTGGGAAGCTCGAAGAGAGGCTTTGGAGTCCTCGGTCCCCGCTTTATAGACGACTAAATGATATCCAGTACCACATTACCGCAAACCAATTCTCTATCCCCATCCTCGTTTATGCATCACTGTATACTGCCATACCAGACCATGCCACTGCTAGCCACGACTTCATACGGCCAAACACCATCGTCTTCGCCGCTCGTTCGTATCTCATCAGAGTTTCTGGCAGGTATTTCTACTTCGCCTATTGCATTGTAAGGTTGATCAGCCATATCGTCGTAGTACCAACGCTGCAATGGGTCATGTACAAATGCATCGACAGGCACGCTGAAAGAACCCAGCCTAGCCTCCTGAGCTTCTTTCCCCCTGGGCCACGGACGATCCACATCGACCATGTTCCTCTGATTCTTTCTCTTTTTGGAAGAAAGGCGATTCGATTGATGTGGATCATCTATGATGCTCGTTTCTGGCCTGGAGGCGCCGTGCCTCTTGGCCTGGTGATGGGCTGGGTTGGGACCTTCTTGGGCCACCTGGGTCTGCTGCTTCATCGATGCCGATCCTCCTTTGGAGGTGGGCTCATTCGACTTTGTCTAGGCAAAAGTCAGCCTCTGATCGAGGAACTACTGAATGGACTAACTCACTTGCTCGTACATTGTAGCGACGGGGATCGTCTGTTGATCTTTGTAAAGAATAGGATGTTTGATCTGCGGTCGTTGACTATGGTCTCGGGATAATCAGGGGTAGCCGGCCTTGATTCTTATACCACTTCGAGCAGCGACTCATTCTCATACACAGGCAGCCAGTAAGTGTGGATTCTGATGCCAAGTTGCTGACCTATCCATCTGCGCGTGTTGGCCGGGGACACAAATAACTTTGTCAGTCAGCATGAGCTGATAGTTCTGCTCGTAGAGTCTACATCTCTCTCGGAGCTTGTGATTGTATCCAAGCGCCCCGTCCGAACAGAGGGATCTCGGTACCATCGACGTGGTACGCAACTCACGGCGATTCTCTCATCCCACGGCAGTACGTGTACTCGGTACTCCATACGATACTCTGTACGATGTTATGGTCAGGAATTACCTCAAAAGAGGGGTTTCCGAGACCACGCCTACAAAGAAGTCGAGGCTATGGAACGAAAGGGATGCTATAAGCATGAACTCTGAGCTCGGAGTTTGCTCCTAACTCAACCCGAAAGCTGGCCCGATGGCCTTGCTTCCACAACAGCCACGACATACCAGACCGTTAGCGATGCCGGATGCGGTCCGGCAATGCAGCTATTCCAACGTTCAAGACCTAGCAGTCCATAGAAGTCGAGGGTCAAGCAAAACAGCGGGCCAATTAGCGGATCTGAAAGCTTCTGAGACAGGGCTAGCAGCTTCCAAGGGAGGTGACATAGGAGGCCATCGCAGGGTATGCGTGTTCCCCATCCTATTGGGCGAGTGCATGCACGAGACAGTGAGACAAAACAAACTTACGCTTATCTGAGCTAGGTCGACTCTATTTTGCTGTTGTCATGTCTTTGACCGCGTTTGCCTGACCCTGGCGGGGGTGGTTCGCAAAGAGAAAAGAATTCTGGCCCAAGCTTGTGAGCTTCTATCGATAGCAGATGATGCCCCAGATTCAACTTTTGAGTTATTCCTGGATTTCACGTTCTTAGAAACATCTAGAGTGTCGATCATTCTCTGACATGGCTGGATCATGTGGCACAGGAAGTCGGTGATAATTATAGAAAACCGCAATTCCAGGAGAGACGGACTTGAACCCGCTCCCGGGCTTGAAACTAGAACTGAGATGTTCTGATCTCATTGCCCAACGCCCAAAACGCCAGTCTCTCTCACAATGGCCGAAAGGCTGTATCTGACTTCAAAACAAATCATGACGCCTCCTCTCTCATCCGCCTCGCATTCCTCCACACGGGACCCTTCTTCGCTATCAAGAACATCATCGGGCTCAAGACGGCACACAAGGCAGCCAGGAACGTAAACGACCACCCCCTCCCCATCCCACGAATCATGTACTCGATCACCGCCGTACCGACGGCGCCCATGGCGCACCGCACCAGGTTATTCGCCGCCGTCGCCGTCGCAGGCGCATCCGGGAAAAGGTCCACAATGAGCGTATTCATGACGCTAAACGACCCCGTAATCGTGAGCCCAATGACACCCTGCAGCACCAACGGTGCCGCGACGCCGCCGACCTCGAAGTGCAGCACCCACCCGTACGCCGTCAGCGCCGCGAGCCCGACGGCGACGGCCGGGTAAACGGGCTGCAGACGGGCCTTTTCGATGGGGAATTTCAAGAGGTCGTCGCCGCGATGGCGGTCAATTGCGAAGCCGATTTGGGAGGCGATGCGGCGGTAGTTCCAGTCGAGGACGTACCCCTGGCCGAGGCTGGCGACGACGCAACCCGCGCCGTAGGGGAGGTAGCAGAGGCCAAGCTCAAGGTCGTTGAAGTGGTAGATTTCGCGGAAGAGGGTACCGAGGGTGGCAGCTACGCAGATGAAGGCTACGTAGAGGAGGCTGTTGTAGGCGAGGACGAGGGCCATTTCTTTTTCGAAAATGATTTTGACGGAGCGGATTGGGTTTGGGAAGCGGAGTTTGCGGTGAGGATGTGCTGCTGGTATGGATTCGGTTTGAGAAAGAGCACCGGTGTCCTGGTGTCTACGGTTACGGCGGCGGCGGATGAGGTCGATCACGGGCCGGTTCCACGACTGAGCCGGGATAGAACCGTTGCCCACGACACCGCGGCAGGTCTCTGGGACGAAGAGGGCGTACGGGACAAGCCAGAGGCTGATGAGCACGACGCAAAACCAAAAGATGGACGCCCAGCCAAAATACTGCGTCAAGACGCCCCCTAAGACGGGACCGATGGTGGGGCCGACGTTGATGCCCGCGCCGACGATGCCCATGTACTTGCCCCGCTCCGAGCTGACCGAGATATCAGCCACCATGGCGAACCCCAGCGCAATGGCGCCGCTGCTCCCGCCACTCTGCAGCATGCGGAGGACGAGGAGGGCGGCGTAGTCGCGCTGTAGGGCGAGGCCGACGCAGGCGACGAGGTAGATGCTGAAGGCGACGAGAAAGGCCGGGCGGCGGCCGGCCATGTCGCCGAAATCGCCAAAGAGCGTCGGGGAGATGGCCTGGAGAACCATGTAAGAGGTGACTGTGAGGTTGACGAGGGCGACGGAGACGTGGAGGTCGTCTGCGATGGGGGCCAGGACCGGGTAGTAGATGTTTGCGGACATGGGCGGGACGAAGCAGGCGACGGAGGCCATGAAGGCTATCCAGCGCTTTGTGGAGGGGGAGAAGACGCTGTAGGCTGGGCCGCTGGGCTGGCGGGTGAGGTTCTCGGGGTCGACATTTTGGTCGTAGACCGGGTTGGGTTCTTCGGTCGAGGAGACTTCATTTTGTGCTTTCTCGTTGGCAAGGTCTGGGTCGCTTGGTGTTGAGACCTGGATGATGGATGGACTTGGAGATGTTTGTGGTGTTTCTGGGCTAGTTGGATTCCTTTTCAAGTCCACTTGGCCCATGTTGTTCAACTCATCGTGTCCCATAGTCGTCAAGAGAGCATCTGTGTACGAAGCAAAGATACAAAAAGATGATAAGACGGGACAAGAACAGAGATTGAAGCTAGACGTTACTATCTCCAGACACTTGCTTGATAGTGGCCCGCGACGTTCATTAGAGATATGGCCAAGACTACTTTGAAGTAATAGAAACCCGACAAGAGCAACAAAACACTACAAGAATGGATGGTCTTGCGTGCCTGCGTAGATTTTGCAGGTAATCCATATCCGTAAGCGGGACCATCTTGCCGCCCTGCCGCATACCTACCCTGCTTTACAACAATGATGTTATTTCCGCTACCAGATCGGCCTCCACCACTCGGCCTCTGACCGACCGCGATTAACATGCAGCTTTCATGATTCGCCCGGACCGGGCCATACCTCCACAAAAGCCCGCCCGTTTTGGGCAGCTGGAGTCGTCCAGCATTGACCGAGGCGGCTTCTGGGACGTGTCTATCGGTGCGGTATCGGGCAAGATGATCGCAGCCCAAAAAAGATCCGTTGGTGTTCCTCGATAAATGGCACTAAGAGATTCATCATTGCGCCTTTAGTCAGGTGGTGGTGGGCAATGGCTACAGTCGCTTGACTCTAGTATGAATCGGGTTCACTCCGAGATCGGACAGCTTCACTTCAAGCATCCAGCCCTTCTCTAGAATCCCGTTCTTGAATGTGGTCCTTTTTCCAATGGGAGTGTAAGGAGTGGTTGATGGACATCTCAATTGGCGTCTTTTGCAAGCTTCGAACTCGTTGTTGTGGAGGAGCTGGCTCGTGCGCCCTGCCGACGCCGTTGCCGACCTGCCGATGCAGCCCCGAACTCTGACTGTCAGCATGCTTAGCTAATTCTTACAGTCACCAGCCACACCAGCCCCAACGTCGAGGGGATAAGTGTGGCTAGTGAGACCTGAGAACCGAAGCCACGTCATTGGAGAACAGCTTTCCAGATCTCCAGCTGGCGGCGTGGATGTGACCACAGGGTTGAACGACGTGATATCACGGATTCCGGTGCACTATGCTCCTCAACACCACGTAATTTCTCCCAGAGTGAAACGTTCCTCTCTTCCAGCCGTACGGCAAAGTGCGATAGGTTCTCGAAAATGGACATTACACCAGCATTCAACGACCTCCTGCGGAAGCGCAATGCGCCCATCGTCACCGAGAAGAAGCTCAGTCTCGAAGCCATTGACGGCTTCCTCAAGGAGGCTTACAGAATAGTCAGTCTCTACCAAACCCTCCCCTCTCTATTCTTGAGAACCGTATGTCTCTGACACCTTGACATCCAGAACTCCCACATCACAAACCTCCACAACGAACTCAAAGATGTCCGACAAGCCTACCTCTCAACAGCGCAACCGCGCAAAACACACATCCACGCCGCCGCCGCCGCCCAACAACGGCACCTAACAGACCGCGACCGCGAAGAAGTCGACGCAAACGCAAAGCAAATGCTCCGCGAGCTCAACGCGAGCATCACAGCCCTCAACGAAGCAGAGCTCCTCCGCCGCGAAACCGAAACGGCTGTCATCCGCAAAAAGTACGCCAGCAGGCTCGGTGCCCTCGGCGCCTGGGCCGCCGCCAGCGACAATGACAGCAGCAGCAGCAAGGGCAAGACGGCGGAGCACGCCGCGGCCGAGGCGCGCGCCAGGACGATTGAGCAGCACCGCGACGAGGTGATTCAAAGTCTGCGGTTAGGACTGCAGCGGTGCGGGCGGACGCAGCAGGATATGATGGAGGTGAGGCTTACGAGGGAGATGGAGAAGAATAGGAGTGTTTTGGCGAAGGCGGGCGGTGGGGGCGCGATGCCTGAGTTGGGCGGGTTTTATGAGTCCATGGCGAAGAGTGCTGCTGCCAACAAGGGGGCGACGGGCAAGGCTGGTTTGCCGCCAGGGGAGGAGGGTGCGTCGTCGTCGTATGACCCGCGAGAGGGCCTTACGGATGAGCAGATCCAGATGTTTGAGAAGGGAAACCAGGATATGCTTCAGCATTACAACAGCACGCTGGACAAAGTCAGGTATGTTTTGCATGACCGACATTATACACCCCAAATCGTCCATGAGTTTCTTTAGCAGACATAGCTGACGATGGGTTTCACAGGACGGCGGAGAAGTCGCTACTCGAGATCGCAGAGCTGCAGACGTTACTGGTGGGCAACTTGGCGACGCAGTCTGCGCATATCGAGCAGCTCGTGGCGGACTCGGAAAACATCACGGCGGACGTGGGCGGTGGTAACAAGCAGTTGAAGAAGGCGACGCAGCGACCGAGCGCGGCGAGGTATACCTTTTTCGCGTCGGCGGGGTTGTGCACGTTTTTGATTCTTTGGGACTTGATTATCTAGTTGTGAGGCTGGAATCCTTGGGCTGAATAGAAGCTTGGCCGGGAGTTTGCCCAGTTTGGCGATTAAATACCATCAAAACCATTGTCTTGGCTGTACTACGCACCACATATTGCGGTCTGCCAAATTACACCTTTGATTTTCAGTCTTGTAGATTTGTGCACTTTTGACTTATTGAGGTAGCATTTCGAGTATTCTATGGCTTGAATCACAGGCTGATATTCCCATGGTGGGAGGTTGGGCTGACAGACATGTGAAAGTTCATAGATAGCAGCGTCACATGCTGGGTCGTCAAAAAGCCTGGGCCAAGCGCAGGTGACCTTTTAGTTGCAAGCCATGTAAATCCAGCGGACCAGAACATGAGAGGACCGATGCCTTGGTCTTTGGGCGCTAGGAGCATTTGATAAACCAATCTGCCTTGCCTACCCCATCTAGCACCTTACGCAAACAAGCTACATATTCACTTATCACAGTGAAGAAGCGTTGTTGCGGTGTGCTCTCCGGGACGGCTTGTACGGAGCTGGGATGCCGGGGGAGCTTCGGCGAGTGTCTGGGCAAGCTTGCAGCAGGCGAGCTTCTGATTGGCGCTGCTAACGACATTGAACATGCGAAACGGTTCTCGGTACCTGCGGTGTTTTGGAGGGGGGGAAGCGTTGCAATACCGAGGAGTGGTCTCATCTTTGCGGTTATACTTGGAGTTACCGAGCTCTAAATTTGTGCTGTCCATTGAACCCTCGTAGTATCTTGATTCCAAGGCAAGGCATGAATCTCCAACTAGGTGGTGTAAGATAAAGGAAGATGAATGTGCGTCTGTCAAGCTGCAGTCCATTATACAGACAAGATGGGATGACCTCGTTCCCTTAGTCTGAAGTCGCCCGGCAATGCACTCCATCCGAAATCAACGATTCAGAAGTAATCCAAGAAGATAAACCGGGATGAACCTCAATATGTACGGAGTACACTACCAGACTACCTAAGCAAACGTCGAGTCGTGATGACAGTCTGGCAGCAAATGGGAGAGTTTGGAGAGTCATGGGGTTGAGCCCGAGACCTCGGCCCGCCCTCCACGGGTGACCTCACAAGCGCAATTGGGAAAGGTTGGGGCAAATGGGGAAGCAGCGGGGAGCCGACAGCTAGAGGATAAAGAGAAGGCGCGCTCCTCCCCCCCGCCGATGCACACGACACTGGAAGGAAGGTACTGCCACTGCTGCTGCTGCCAAACCTGGAAAACAACGAAACGAAATCCCCGACCATTGCCCGACACTTCGCCGATTTCTTCACTTTCGGTATCTTTTCTCTCTGCCTCATCATCCCGGGAACGAACTTGCAAGACATCGCATCCAATTGCCCAGCTGCCCAGCAAAGACACAGAATCAATCTATTTTCGCAGACAAATCCGCCTATCCGCACCCGATTCGAGCAAGGCGTTACGAAATACCTTCCTCGACCTGACTATCCTGCCCGCACCCGGTGGATCCCATCTGATACAACTTTGCCCCAAAACCCAACCTTGGACGTGTCACAGTGGTACTTTTTCTCCGTCACCAGGTTCCATTCAAACTCGATTGCTTGCTGTTTCTCGAGTTTCTTCTGCCACCTGTTCAAACCTCAGACAGCCAGAATTTCCGAACCACAAAACAAACTCGCCCTCCGATCGTCCGAGCCAAAACATCACTATCTCAGCCCTTTCATCCAGTATTCCACTATTCCGTACCCAACCCCCCGTATCCAAGCCGTTGCTCTGCCGTACAGTGTACCCTGCGCCCTGCATCTGTACACACCTACCTAGTGTCTGTATTCTGCAGCCCGACCGTCCGCTGCAACCACATCAACCTTCCTGTACGTTTCTGCAACTCCCGGAGCGCCGCGCTGTGAGGACGAGACACTCGGCCAGACCCAAGCGTTGCCGTACGGAGTACAGTACCTTAGTTAACACGTCCAGGTCTTTCTGGGATAGCTTAGCTCCCGCACCAACCAAGCCCCCCGTCTTTCATCCCCCAGGTAAGCAGTTGCAGCCCGTTTGTCCCTCACCTCAGCAACATGTCATCTTGCGGCTTGCCCTGTTCCTTGACGTCCTAGACGTTTCCCGCCTGAGCTGGAAGTCCCCCCGTCTATGGAGGCGCATGTCCGCTTCCCCCTTCCCCTTCCCCTTCCCCGTCGAACCTCGAGGCGTCGGGTGACACGGTGACCCCTCCGGGAGCCCGGGCAGAAGGGGCATCTCTCACCCCAAGGTCCCATGCTCCATGGAAGGTCCCAAAACACCCCGACCATGCCAGTGACCAAGCTCCCATTCCCACTGCCCATCTGGGTCAGGTACGGAGTACTTGGGTCACCTCAGAGGCTCAGACGCCTGGACAAACGGTTGGCGCCTGTAATCGCAAAGCTTCCCATTCGCCCGTCTAAATCGTACCACTATTTGATGCCATAATAATAACCACCCCCAGACAGACCCTTTCCTCCCCCCCGCCTCTGACTCGTTCCCCCTTCTCACGAAAGCTCCGACGCTGAAAATGCCCGGTGATTCCTCCTCTTCTTCATCAGCTTCGGCCTCTTCCTCTTCTTCCTCTTCTCCCCAGAACAACTCTACTCTTTTGAGAATACGCAACATCGCATCACACATCATGGCGCCCGTTTCAACCACAAACTTCCCCGCCAGCACGGTGCCGCAAGCTCCTGAGGATCCCCTCTTTGGCTTGATGGCCGCCTACAGGGCAGATCAGAGCAAGGACAAGGTCGATTTGGTGGGGTGAACCCTTTATTCATCAAACAGCAGCAGCAGCAGCAGCTAGCTGTCTTGATGGTGTTCTGAGCTCTTTTGCTAACCATCCCAGGGAATTGGAGCTTACCGCGATGACAATGCGAAGCCTTGGGTTCTCCCCGTCGTCAAGAAGGTGCGTCATCGTTCTCTTCTTTTTCCCCCTTCACCTTGTTTTGTGAATGCCCTCCGGAGACGGACCCTGCTTGCGGCCCCTCCGGCTCCAGCATGGCAAAGCACGGCTGCGTCACGCATCGGCGGCACAACAGCTGATGTGCAGCATCGTCCTATTTTTGATGAGCTTTCCCCTCATCGCATCCCACTTCCTCCACTTTTGGCCTGCCCCTTACAAGTTACCCACCCCCGCTAACCCCGCCATGATGCAACTTTACAGGCCGACGAGATCCTCCGCAACGATCCCGAACTCAACCACGAATATGCTCCCATCGCCGGTATCCCCCAGTTCACCGGCAAGGCTAACGAGCTGATGCTCGGCGCCGACTCACCCGCCATCCGTGAGAAGCGCACCTCCTCCGTCCAGACAATTTCCGGCACCGGTGCCGTCCATCTCGGTGCCCTCTTCCTCGCAAAGTTCTACAAGGGCAACCGCACAGTCTACATCTCCAACCCGACATGGGCCAACCACAACCAGATCTTTGGCAATGTCGGTCTGCCCATCGCCCAATACCCCTACTTCTCCAAGGAGACAAAGGGTCTCGACTTTGAGGGCCTCAAGTCTACCCTGTCCTCCGCTCCCGAGCGCTCAATCATCCTTCTCCACGCCTGCGCTCACAACCCCACCGGTGTTGACCCAACACAGGAGCAATGGAAGGAGATTGCCGCCCTGATGCGCCAGAAGAACCACTTCCCCTTCTTCGACTGCGCATACCAGGGCTTCGCCTCCGGCAACCTCGCCCAGGATGCCTGGGCTGTGCGCTACTTCATCGAGCAGGGCTTCGAGCTCCTCATCGCCCAGAGTTTCGCAAAGAACTTTGGCCTCTACGGCGAGCGCGCCGGATGCTTCCACTTCGTCACCGCCCCGGCCTCCGACGCCGCCGAGACCACAAAACGCATCGCCTCCCAGCTCGCCATTCTTCAGCGCTCCGAGATCTCAAACCCCCCGTTGTACGGCGCCCGCGTCGCAGCTACCGTGCTCAACGACCCCGCGCTCTTCGCCGAGTGGGAAGACAACCTGCGCACCATGTCCGGTCGCATCATCGAGATGCGCAAGGTCCTGCGCGCCAAGCTTGAGGAGCTCGGAACCCCCGGCACCTGGAACCACATCACCGACCAGATCGGCATGTTCAGCTTCACCGGCCTGTCGGAGACGCAGGTGCTGAAGCTGCGCGAGGATGCCCACGTCTACATGACCAAGAACGGCCGCATCAGCATGGCTGGTCTCAACACGAGGAATGTCGAGTACTTTGCCAAGGCGGTTGACAAGGTTGTTCGTGAGACGAAATGAGATTGAGGTTTCTTATGACGTTTTGTATGAATGTAAATGGGTATACACGGGGACCGGATATGTCCCCCCGCAACGGTGTGGCCAGACAGCTGGCAGGAAGTGGAAAGAGGGAAAGAAAAAAATCCTTAGATTTCCTAGCACTGGAGTAATGACCATCACCTCTTGTTCATGATGCATATTGCTAGACTCTATTGCTTACTTGATGAACTGTGTGATCTGTGAGACTACTGTCAATATCTACAAAAACCTATCTGCTACTACAATTGAGAACTGGTCAGTATGTTGAGGGCTACCAACGTGAGGCTGAGTACCGGTGCCTGTCAATCGGGACTACGTCGTCCGGAACGTCCATGAATTCCCTGTCTTATCATCCTTATCTCTCAGTTTCCGTTCTATCTTTTATCACGATCGTCTATCTCTCATGGTCCGTCATTTCTGTCTCTCGTTTTGAGATCATCTCCATCTCTAATTTTATTTTACCTCTGTTTTGTATTCTCCATTATCCCCATCATTGAACCTCCGTCATGTCTGTCATTCATTCTGACCACTCCTGTCTTTGAATTTCCATCATCTATATCACTGAGTTATGTTTTCATCATCTCCGTCGTTCACTCTATCATTTATGCTACTGAACTTCCATTATTTCTAAGAATGACGACCCTCTCCATCTCTCTGACGCATCCAGGAGGTTATTTGAGATTTTGGTAAAGCACGGCGCTACAGACTCCGACTCGAGTGGTAGTAGCGATGACCCCGACTTTAACCCTGAGTACCCCCGTTGAGAGTCTTGCCGTGGCAAGGAGGATGACGATGATGGTGGAAATAGTGGAGAAGATTGTGAGACTGGTGAGGGTGGTGAGGGTAGAGACGAGATGGATGTCGATGAGGCAGTTGGCGACGGTGACGATGCTGGTAAACAGAACAAGCCTGCCCGATCATTCATTCTCAATCATCTTTGTCACTCATTCTCATCCTCTCCTTCTCTTCCTTCGAACCTCTCTTTCTCTCTTTACCTTTTCTATCTCTCTTTATCCCCCCCCCACCCCCGCCCCCCCCGCCTCGTGGTAAGCACTCACGAACATGAGAAGGCAAGCCAGTACTAGCCATTCCCTAGTCTTAACCTACAACGGTGCCCAAAGGTTCATTGAATTCGCACCGGGACTTAATATCCAAAGGCCGCCATCGACATTAGTAAGTTGGCTTGGACTTGATCAGCAAGACATGGGCGGGCGCCGCGCTGCTGTTGAGCCCAACGTCTTGATCGAAGCTCTCGTCGCAGCTATTGTCGATCGTGAAGATGGGGTCTGCAGAGGATCGCTTTATATACGCTAGCACTCGAGATTCTCTGAACCCTCGGCCCCCCCGGCCCCCCTCAGCGCTCATATTCGAAGGCCATCATCGATATCAGTGGCTTGAATTTGACATCTTTGACAAGAGGCATCAGGGCGCTGGCGCCGCTGTGGAGTGGAACGTGTCAATGAAAGCTGTAGTCGCAGCCATTGGGATTTTGAAGACGGGGTTCGTGGAGTGTTGCTTTATAGGTACTTCAAAGCAGGCCGTGATACTCAAGTACAAGGTTGCTTCGAAATCCTTTTCAGGTCCAAAGTACTGTGATGTGTTGTGAAGAACGGTGTTTGTGAAAGGTTGCTTTTCGGTCCTTAATCATAGTGCTTGTTATCGTCGTCGTCGTCGTTATGGTGCCCACGAGTCCTCAGGAATTCCCCTCACCATGGCATGTTGAAGACTCCGGTAGGGACGCCTTTGAAGAACAAGCTTGCTTTCCCCAGTATTCAAGACTATACCAAGCCCGCTGGTGCCAAGCGGTTGAGTTGTCAGCCCATGCTCCCTCCTACAGTTCTCATTGAATATCGAAATCGTTCGGATGGGAGGGCGCTCGAGTCGGGAGTATTCGGGTTGATGTAGAGAAATCTGAATCGGATTAGATCGTCTTCCTCCTCTTTCCCCACTTTGAAGCTTTCACATGGACGAGCCAGATAGCCAGGCAACAAGAAGAAAAAACGAAGGCCAAAATCCTTCCAGAGTTCGAGAGATCAAGGAAGGCAGAAGCTAGGAGAGGGATGAAATTCAGGGACGACGTCCCGATTATCTAGTCCTAATCCCTCGTGGCAATCGGCCCTTCTCTCGGGACTTTACGGTTAACGGGCGTACCCCACCACCCTTATTCCCCCCGGTCTCCCGCGATGCCGGTAGAGGGATTGGGGGGAGGAGCAGGGTGTGGTCTTTCGTTTTCCCGCCTCGCCCTATTGCTATGATCCTTTTGTGGAAGTGTTTGTGTGTTGTTTTGTGGGGGAGGTGGATTATGTCGAGGACCTTTGTTTGTCCTCTATTCGACTTGGACGGAGGACGTCTTGTCCGCGTGATGTCCCGTCTGGCTTCTTACCGGGGTCTCATTCCTGGATGCAAAGGATGGAAAAGACTTGATACAGAATAGCATGCTAAGTCTCCTGTGGTCGGGCGTACACTTAAAAAGCGATAACACGAGTCATATCCTGCATTCTCGAGCTCATTCAGTATGGTTGACAGCATCCGGCTCTAGTCCAATGAGCTGCTGTTGACGGTTCCCCGCAAAGCCTCACCCTCCCTCCGGGTCAAGATCGACGTCGTGGCTCAAGGGTAATTCTTAGGGCACGGGGGAATTGGAGAGGAGGTTGTCAACCCGCCGCGTCTTCTAGATGCTAGCTAGTATTTGTTATTTACCCGGCTAGGTCGACCATGGAATCTTGCATCCTCGCGTTCCAATAGCTTCGACACTCCAATTCGCCGCTGACACGCGGGTTCCGTCTCCAAGTCCGAGGAGGCCAGTCGGTACTCGATACGGATTAGAATGGTACTGTGATATGTAGAGTGGGGGGTAGTGCATGACTCCTAAGTTGTCAACCGCAACGTTGGGATGAACATGAACAATGGGGTCGGACCCGATGCAATCACAAGTGAGGATAGTATGTGGTGGGCAACATCTCGAATACACAAGGAGTAGGAACTTCTCCAATCGCGTTGAAATAAATGAACACACAGACAGACGCTCGCCCGGCCGGCGGGAGAGGTAAGCACGACTTCCAACCCCAAGAACATGTGGTGACACGACAGGTCTATTCCTCTTATGCAGTAAGGTTCTTTTCGTTCGTATCCTACACAGCTCGCCTTGGATAGACGAGCTGTGCCGCGTTACTGCGCTGAAAAGCCTCTCGGCATCAGTCATGAGCACCTGCAGTGTGGTTGGAGAACCCGACCTTCATCAGGACGGTTGAACTGCGCAATAAAAGCGTTGGATACACCATGTTTCGACAGAGCCCTCCCACTCCAAAGACACATACTTCTAGGAAGGCGTTCTTGGTTCACAGCATCCGCAGACTTATCGTCGTAGATTCCAACAGATTGAAGTGCCTAGACTCTCCACTCCTCGGACTTCCGTCATGACCTCGGCACAGGATACGAAATCTCGCTTCTGGCCATCCCGAATGACCGAATACGGTAACGGCGCCAACCTCCCCTCCACCCCCATTCTCTGATAAAGTCACCGCCAAGCCAAGCACCTCGAGAAAACAAACCAGATGTTGATCCTGTTCGTTCGTTTTTCGTAAGCAACAGGCGAAAAACTAACCAATAAACAGCCTTCTTGGCTCCTAGTCTTTCCCCAAACCATCCAAGTTGTTCTAGCGGAGATGCGGAGTTGAACTCCCACAATCCCTCCAAACACCCCATGCCCATAAATTAAGCAGCGAACCATCTGACCAAAGCCCATGGGGAAAAGCAAAGACCATGTGGGGGAGCGAAAGCCTTCCCCGCATATCATTGAATGGTCGTTGCTCCATTGTTTGAGATGAATGTGGTTTCCTCACTGGATGGATAAATGCAAACAGCACTTCAATTCAACCCCAACCCCGACCTCCTGGGCACTTCTTGGCGAGAAGCATGGCCCCCGGCTCTTTGTGAGCGTGTCCCCGATGCAACAGTCATCTCATTCGGACCTTCTGCCACCTGTGATCCTGGCCGGCGCCGCTTCCCTCTCCCGCTGTCCCGCCTTAGCCCTTCCTCTGGTTCCCCCTCTGCCGGAATCTGCCCATGTGTTGATAGGTTCGGGCGTATTCAAGCATGGGGTAGTTCCTTCACGGCAGTGCGTATGTATATAAAATACCCGGGTGGACCTCGCCGCAAGTTGGAGATGAGGGAGAGTCTACCACTGGAGAAGCGTGTTGGAGTCGCGCGCCCTTGAATACATACACACCCTTGAACGCCCAGGGACAAGGACTCGGTAACATATACTTCCGTCTACTGGATAGAGAACTACTTATTCCTTATCCCATCCTCATCGACTGTCACCGTTTAGACCTTTGGACGCGTCGCTGAGACTCTCTTGACCGATCTACCGTCTTCTTCCGCGAGTCGCAGTTCATTTCTCACAATGGTCCAGATCAAGCGTGCGCAGGAGACCGGGGCGGCGGACCCAATCCTGACCCGCATCTCGGAGGAAGACAAGGTGCCGTGGTACCAGAAGCCGAACCTGCGATACCTCTACCTCATGCTCTTCCCAACGTGCATGGGTATCGAGTTGACGTCTGGTTTCGATTCGCAAATGATCAACGCGTTGCAGATCGTGCCATCGTGGAAAGAGTGTAAGTTGGTCCAGTGAATACGCTTGGGAACTCAAATTGACAACATTTGATAGACTTTGGAGATCCGCAGGGCAGTCTGAAGGGCATCATCGCCGCTGCGTACTCCCTTGGCGCCATTCTATCTCTTCCCTTTATCCCCATCGTGAACGACAGGTTTGGACGAAGATGGTCCATCTTTGGCGGCAGCTTGGTCATGGTTGTTGGAGCCCTCATCCAGGGTTTCTCTCAGCATGGTACGTTTGGCCGTCTTATCGCCCGCACTGGTCTCGAACAAAAACTAACTTTGAGAAGTTGGCATGTACATCGTTGCCCGCATGATCCTCGGCTTTGGTATCCCGACATGTATCGTCTCCGGCTCATCTCTCATTGGTGAATTGAGTTATCCCAAGGAACGTCCTGTTTTGACGTCTCTGTAAGTATTCAAGTCTAGGCGAGGCGAACTGAGTAGACTGATGGATTTCAGCTTCAACGTCGCGTACTTCGTTGGTCAAATCGTGGCCGCCGGTATCTGCTTCGGCACCAACAACATCGCAAGCAACTGGGCGTGGAGAATCCCCTCTCTCCTTCAAATCTGCCCTTCTCTTTTGCAAATCACCTTTGTCTTGTAAGTGATCCCCCAAAGGAGCATATAACCACATGCTTCTTCAATTGATCTGACATATCATGCTTCCAGCTTCCTTCCGGAGAGTCCCCGATGGCTCATCACCAGAGACCGTAGCGAAGAAGCACACGACATCCTCATCAAGTACCACGCCGAGGGAGACCGCGACTCCGAGTTCGTCAAGGCCGAGATGGCGCAGATGAAGACCGTCATTACCCTCGAGATGGAAGCTTCCAAGCAGTCGTGGATGGACCTCCTCAACACGGCCGGTATGCGCCGCCGTGCTCTCATCTCTTCCATGTTGGGCCTCTTCACTCAGTGGTCCGGCAACACGCTCATCTCGTAAGTATCTCCATGCTGTTCATCACTCTTCATCCGAGCAATGGCTGATATGGGGGGACATAGATACTACTTGGGTGACCTGCTCCAGATGATCGGCTTGACCGACTCCACCATTAAGCAAAAGATCAACCTTGGCATCGCCGGCTGGTCACTCGTCTGCGGCTTCACCGTAGCCATGCTCGTGCGAACTTTCCGCCGTCGCGTGATGTACCTAGCTTGCACAATCTCACTGGTATGTCTCTTCCAACACCTCGTCCCGATCTCTCACCCGCTAACAATCTCCTCAGCTTCTCTGCTATATCAGCTGGACAATCTCAATGGAACGCGCTGTTCACGCTCTCGACAACAAATACAAGAACCAGTCCGCCTCCGTCGCGACAATCTTCTTCATCTTCATGTACTCGCCCTGCTACAACATCGGCTACAATGCCCTGACGTACACCTACCTCGTTGAGCTGTGGCCCTACGCCCTGCGGTCGCGCGGTATCTCGCTCTTCCAGCTCTTTGGCAGGTTGGCAGGCTTCTTCACGACCTTCGTCAACCCCATTGGCATCAAGGACGCATCGTGGCGGTATCTCATCAGCTACTGTGTCTGGCTCGCCTTTGAGGTTGTGTTTGTGTACTTTATGTTCCCCGAGACTGCGGGACGCACGCTTGAGGAGTTGGCTTTCTGTAAGTTTCTCGATGACCCCGCTCGGTGCATAATCTTGTTGCAAAGATGGCTGACGATTTTGCTTTACCAGTGTTTGAGGACAAGGCTCTTGCCGATCAGGCTGTTGGTGCTGTCGAGAAAGTTATTCATCATGATGACATGGACACTATTGGTGAGGTCAAGAGCGGAGGCGGCAACACTGAAGTCGTTGAGAATGTCGGTGCCAAATCGAGGGTCTAATCATTGGACGCCTGGTCCAGCGGAACGGCGTGGGGGAAGTTCAAGTAGCGTCAAATTGATCAGTTACTTAGAGTACGACAAAAGACGAAAGAGTCAACATCGTCTATTCCTATCCTCCAATTTCATACTTCTCAGTGCCAGCCAATGAGGCATTGGTGTAACACTCTACAGCTTCGTCAGCCTACCTACACTTGAACAGCGTTAAGATATTGCCCCCGCTCAGGCATCATCCGCAGCCTGCTTCATCAACTGACTGGGGGTGTAGAGAATGAAGATATGACTGGCTGGGTTGTATCACAACTGATAGCCACGTAAACGTACGTATCGGAGGCTCTTCCACTGCGGGGCTCTCCTTTTGTGTGGCCATGTTGATTACGCAGCGGCACAGTCGGTGGTGTTTGCAAGATCAGGCTGCAGATGACAGCCAAATAGTCAAGCCTACCCCTCAGCAATTTCGCTCGAAGTCCTCCCTCTTCAACTTTCTCTGTGAAGAAAGTTGCGTTGCAAGGTCGATAGCAATCAAACCAGGCATCATGCCCGTCCGACAAAAGTCATGGGGCCTTCCTGTAAGGCCCCCGGATCGAACAGCAACGATAAAAGCCGACGAGAACGAGCTTGAACAGCAGAGTAGCGAAGCTGCTGTTAAATACTGGTTATCAGAGGCAGAGAAGCTCCAGCCAGAGCAGCGCCTCTTCGAGCGAGGTGCGGAAGCGGACAGCTACGAAGACTATGTGTCGGACTTGACCCGCGCAGTCCAGAATACCACCAACTCGAGCAAAGTGTCCAGGCTCTCGAGGAAGATGAAGCCGGTTTACGCATTGGTAAAGTCAGTCGCGCCGCTGGTAGCCTCCGCGGACCAAGCCAGCCCATTCCCGTCATCTCTGGTCATTGGAGGGATCACTTGCATTCTGTCAGCCAGCAACCGCGTGGACGACTACCAAGGCAAACTCATTGAGAAGATGGAGGAAATGGTTGACGAGATTGATTCTATCAACCAATATCGCAGAGAAGGGATTTTCCAGGATGATCCTGGAATCAAGGCATGCGAACTAAACCTTGCCACTGATATCTTTCAATTCTGCGTGAGAGTAGCACCCATTTTCTACGATGAAAAGGGGAAGGAAAGAAATGGCCTTTCCGTGGCTATGAAAATGCAATTCAAGGACTTCGACACCAAGTTCGGCGACATCATGGCACATTTTAAACAACACCTTCGTGCTCTGGAGAATCGGAGAGGCTTGATCAACAATCGATGGACCAAAGAAACACATTTCGGGGTCAAAGAAATGGGACTCTTCATGGGTAAAAACTCGCAGGACAAGAAGGAAGCGATGGAAGAAAAGCTACGACAGCAAAAGCAAGATGAGGACAACGAAAGAGGTGAAGTATCGCTCTCAATTCTGCAATTGCTCTATACTGACTACCTGGCAGCGCAAAGACGGAAAGAGTTTCTCGACTGGCTTCCCTTCATTGACTTTGGAGAATTTCACGACAACGCATTTGAGAGAAGTGTTGATGGTACAGGAGACTGGCTCACCAAGAACAACAACTACAAGGCGTGGAGTGACAGTTCATCGTCATCTATGCTGTGGATTCGTGGGAAGCACGGCTCTGGGAAATCCCACTTGGCGTCCTGTATCATCGAAAAGCTATTATTGGAGGCAAAGACTGCTCCGGGCAATGCTGTAGCATTCGTCTATTGTACAACCACACAGTCAAAGACCGAAATGACACTCAACAACCTCTTGGGCTCCCTTCTGAGGCAGATCTGTAGACAGCTACCACCAAGTCGGGATGTCAAAGACTTGATCTCGAAAGACGATTACAGCAGCAAAGACTCTCCTCGGCGAAGCGAACTCAAGAGTGGCATTCTGAAAGCTATCTCGGCATGCCACGCGAGTTCAATCATAGTCGATGGTCTTGACGAATGCAGCAAACTGAACGACAGCCACTTCAAGGAGTTTTGCGATTTCATTGCTAGTCTGGTAGAGAAGTCAGGTGCTGTCACAAAGGTCATAGTACTGAGCAGACCAAATTACGGCGAGATCGACAAGATTATGGGAAATGTCTCCTATATCATAGATGTCGACACAGGCGCCAATCACGACGACATTGAGAGATTCGTATCACAGACTATCTCCGAAATAAATTCAGAGTCCTCGCAAGAAGAACTGCAAGACTTTGAAGAAATCAAGAGCAAACTTGTCAACAATGCCTCAGGAATGTTCTTGTATGTTCGTCTCAAAGTGCGAGATTTTGGAGATCTTGGGAATGCCGAAGATATTAGAGCTTCCTTGGAAGACACCGTTGAAGATCTGAACGATTTGTACGGACAGGCCATCAACTCAGTGCTTGAAAAGCGTACACCCTTCAGAGAAAGAGCACTAATGGCTCTCATGTGGATCACAAACTCTCGTCGCCCATTGTCGAAGATGGAGTTACTCGAAGCTTTATCGCTCAAGCTCAAGCGAAATGGCATCAGAAGTAGCCAGAGGCTAAAGAGCGATTACCAAATCTGCAGACAATGTGCGGATCTCATTACTGAGACTGGGGGCTTTTACTACCTAATTCATGGATCACTCGAAGATTACCTGCTCTCAAATTCTGTCGGCCTTTCTGAGTATCGCGCACTACAATCCCAGGCTCACGCTATCATAGCTGAGGCTTGCCTCAGCTATCTCAACTTTGACGACTTCCAGAAGAATCGTGCGCTAACGCCAAGCGAATTGTTTCAGTTACAACAGCAATATCCCCTGCTGCACTACGCATCATCTCAATGGGGAGGCCATTACAAACGAGCGAGCTTACTCGGAGACAGAGGTTCTGAAATCAGAAAGCTTTCTCTAGAGCTTTTGTCGGTAGATAGCCTTGTCCATTTATGTCTCAAGGTTATCAACTTACATGAACTTGATCCGGAGGATCTCACCCCCGTCGAGGCTTACTTCGACTGGACGCCAACCGCACTTCATCTCATCTGCGCACTCGACCTGAGAAGTCTGGTTGAATCGATACCGCGCTGTGTAGATCTCATTGATCATTTAGATCATATAGGATGGGCTCCAATCCAATATGCTCTGCACTTCAACAGTAAGGATATGTGCATTTGGATATTGGACACTATTCAAGAGAGACAAGACAAGCAAGCGCTGACCGACGAGCTTGTTGGCGATAGATACTGTTTGCTTCATTATGTAGTAGATCGAGATTGGGACCATGCATTGCGGCAGTTGCTTTCCTTCAACTGCGATCCAGATGTTCGGGACGGCTATGGCGAAACACCTTTGCATTGCGCAATACAGCATGGCTGCCATCGTTCTTTTGAGATACTACTTGCGGCGGGTGCAGATGTCACCATCGAGTCAAACGATGGCACAACGCCTCTGATCGAAGCCGTTGACAGTGGCGAGCTGAAGTTTGTCAGAGAAATACTCGCTAAAATCGCAGATGTGGCAAGAGATCCGAGTAGAGCTTCTCCTCTCAACTGGAAGACTCAGCCTGAAAACCTGCACAGGCATGAGCTTATCGACCACAGTCGGCACAATGGCGAGAATGCCTTTTTGCTCAGCTGCGCTCTGGGTCCTGGCTCCATGGTGGAATTGCTCCTCCAACATGGCGCGAATATCAAGGCTTTGAATGCCAACAGTGGAGGCGAAACTGGCCTGCACCTAGCCTGTACCGAAGGTCACATCGATGTTGTTGACGTTTTTCTCTCTCGATGCGAGGCACCTGAACTAGTAAACGCAGAAGATTTCGAAGGCTATACGCCCTTATACAAGACCATCTTCTGTCAAGATCTTGTAATTGCAATCAAACTCCTGGAACATGGAGCACAGCCCAATCACGTCATCAGAAACAAATACACACCTTTGATGTTATCGATTTTTGGAGGGGCGTATGAAATCGCCAAAGCCCTCATTGTCGACTACAAAGTGGATGCCCTCTCACAAACTCACTACGACACCCCGCTACACTGGGCAGCCGATGTTGGATGGTCGCAGATTCTCAAAATCATCCCGAATATGTCCATTTGGTACCAAAATCAGCACCGGAAACATACACCTCTCCACGAGGCAGCTAGGCAAAATCAAATTGAATTCATGAAAGAATTCATAGGCCTGACTTCCACGGCGAATTTAATTCCCCTTGATGAGTCTGGCGGAACACCGCTTCACACGGCTGCTAGAGGCGGTGCCCTAGATGCGGTTAAAATGCTATTGAAGACCGAACCTACCTTACTACATCTCAGAGACGACGAACAATGTCTCCCACTACATTTCTCTGCTAATGAAGGACATCTTTCCTGCACGAAACTCTTGCTAGTGGCAGGCAATATCAACGAGCGCGACGTACACGGCTGCACACCCCTTTGGTACGCCTGTAAAAGTGGACATGAAGACATCGTCCAGCATCTTCTTGAACAGAATGCCAACATAAATCTGTGCGATATGGATGGAGATCCCTCTATCGGTATCGCTATTTTGAACTGCCACGAACGGATTGCGATTTGCCTTCTGGATCGAGGGGCTGAATGCCAGTCAAGGGGATTCAAAGGCAAGACGCTACTCCATCATGCCGCCACCACGGGAAGCCAAGCCATTATTGAGCACCTGCTCAAGGCGGGATGTGATCCGTTAATTGTGGATGATGATGGGGCGACTCCATTGATGAGGGCAGTCTTCGGCGGCTGGCGTGAAGCTGTCTCTTTGTTGCTTTCGGCAGCCCCAGAAGCAGCCCAGATTCTTGGTTGCCAAGGACAAAGCTGCGTGCATATCGCCGCCGGTCAACAATCACCACAAATATTGGAGATGCTGCTTGTCGAAAATCGTCAGCAGCACCAAGTAATAGACAATTTAGGATTGGACGCAATGTGTCATGCCGCAGAACGAGGAGCTACTGCAATGATCGATGTTTTATCCGAGTTCGGAGTTCCAATTGGCGGCATTGCGGGCACTTCTTACAACCCACTGTGGTTGGCAGCGGCTACAGGGTGCTCCCAGTTCCTCCGAGAGCTCCTCAACCACGGGATCAATCTTGAAGAAGATCTAAGACGTTGTTGTGGTCTACGTGGCGCAGATGCGCTTAATATGGCCGCTATGAATGGGAACATGGAAGCAACTTACGTCTTACTACAACTCGGCGCAGATCCAACAACAATAAATCGCTTGGGCCTATCCGCCATTGACTATGCTTTCAGCTTCACGTTCCTTAAGCCGCTTTTCATGGCCTGGCTCCCGACGCCCCGCTCTTTGTCCAGAAAAAACCAGCTGCAAGCTCTGCGGACGGCTATCATCGAAGATTGCAGCGGGTTTACAGATATAGTTGTGGAGGACTTCACAAAGACACATTATATAAGTCTCTTGCGGAATTTGCGGGACGAACTCGTTCTTTTGAACTCAGAGACAAGTCGGCAACAGTTGCAACTCCTTGTTGCCTTACAGTTTCAGGCCACTCCCAGTTTGTTTCGTTGCTTTTACAGATGTGACTGGCGGCCAAAAGAGAACCCTGGCAGCACTTCCTTTCTACATTACGGGAAATTGGATTGCTCTATACTTTGCACTCAATGCCATCAAGACCACATGAGTTATGTAAAGAGTGGCCAGACTCCCTTGCTCATGTTTTTCTTCAATGAGTTGGAGAGGACTACTCTACCTGTACTAGAAGTGCTACAAACCTCGTGGAGTAAACAGGCTTACACGCTTTGGATATGCCTAAATTCCTTGGAGCTCATCACCGATTGGCTCGAAGCAATCACAGAAGCCTATCCGAGGTGTATCAAGAGAAGTAGGTTTTCCGCTCGATTTTCTTTCCTTGATTTCCATGGCTGGAGTTTGGCCGAAACCCTCCAGCGAGTCCAACTGTCTGAGCTATTTCGATACGGAACAAGAGACTGTTCGGAAGTTGATGTGAGAAAACGACAAATCGTTGAAAGCGAACTCAAGGGGGACTTGAGCAAGCTCATTCCATTCGCAAGCCCATACATCGAAATTTCCCATTTTTACGATCCGGGGGACAACTACATCGGATTCCCCGAAACGAGTGCCTCGCCACCCCAAATACGCCGTCATTTTAATGAGCAAGGTCAATTATGCAAGAATATCTTCGAAGAAATATCGGATCATTATGCAGGCCTAGATTTCAGCAGCGTATACAAGGCCACGGATTTCGATTCAAAGGCTTCTCCTCCAAATGAGCCAAACTCGTCAGCTGAGCCATCAGACCAAGAATTCGAATCATACGAGTCATTTGAAGAAGAGTTCGAATCTTATGAGCCGTTTGAAGTCCAGTTCGATACTATGCGTAGGGTACTAGGGCGCGACATCACGAGCTTCCTAGCAATCTTCCTTCCATCTGGTGAAAGGGAATCTATTCTTTACGACAGTGCTGAAGAACTCCTGAGGAAACTGTCACTAGTCTACTTGAAACGCCAAAGGTTGCGTGAAGGAAGCGTGGAATTCAAAAAGACAAGCAATCAGATCGAGGCATACGAGCTTTCATGGCGGCTTGTTCATGCAATTCTGAACATTGAATATACACAGCCGGTTTGGGACTTTTGGCACGAAAGGGTCGCTCGTAAGAATGCGGGATTACAGGATCCAGGAACCAGTCAACAGACTAGAACAGCCAAGCAAGCTTCGGAGCAGAAAGCCGGGTGGTATCCAAGGATGGCTTCCACATATCTATATTCTGAGCTTGGCTGAAACCTGATAGTGATTATACACGACATACATACCATTCTACGCATGAGTTATCGCTTCCTTCATTGAGCCTCCGTTCTCTTACGAGTTGGTTATCATGGCGGAATCGCAATTATGTTTGAAGCTATGTGTTTTTGGCCGAAATCGGATGCACATAGACTAAGGCTAACTTTTGCTGCTTCATAGAAGTAAAATACAGATGATATTGAGGAGGCACAATCTGAATTATTCCTTATTGTCCACTAGCTTCCCCATGGCTGAGGATTGTCTGGAAGATGAACGCAGCACATTGAACATTACAACCTTGAGTACTTAGATCGAAAATCTGCTCCAACTTTTCACAGCCGGATAATCTTCTCAGGGCAGCATGTGATTTGCAGTTCAACCGTCTTCAGCCTTAGTATGCAAGAACTTCGCCCTTCCCCTCTCAACGTTCCCAAGCCGCACATAGTTCTTGATTGGTTTATGAGTCACAACATCCTTGCCCTCATATCCGGACAGGGCCTCTGGACACTTGAGTATTTCAAAATTCCACACGATCAAACTGAGAAGGATTCGCAGCTCCACATACGCAAGCCTCCTCCCAAAGCAACTGCGTCTGCCTTGACCGAAGGCAATTTGGGGCCCAGCTGTAGAGTCAAACTCTAGTCCACTGGCCTCAACTGTTGACACTACGTGGACGTGTTTCTTCTCTGATGGACTTGTGGGAGTAAGCCACCGCTCAGGCTTGAAGTCGGCAATGTCCGCAGGATCCCATTCCGGTACTCTTCCTCTATTCTTCACCGCAATTCGGCACGTCTCGTTCCGCTTTGTCTCGTCAATTTCGTACGCTGGTTTCCGAAGACTGGCTCCTTGTGTGAGACAGAAGATTTGAGTACCTTTTGGAATGGGGTACCCGAGCAGGGCGGTATCGCAAAGAGCTTCTCGCTCTACTAATGGTGCAGTACCGGCACAACGAAGAATCTCTTCCATCGTGGCGTCCAGATAGGGAACTTTGATTTGCATAATTTCCTCTACTGAGGGTGTCCTTGCTTCTCTTGACGCTTCTTTGTATCCTGATTCCATGCAGATACGAAGTCTCGACTGAACCGTCGGGTGGTCTGCTAGCGATTTGAGGCCCCATAGCACGGTAGTGCTGGTTGTATCGTGTCCTCCAGTAAGGATTCCGAATAACTAGTTATCAAGGTCAGCGCTATTTTTAGAGATCCTGAACATTGTATATCTACCTCGTCTCTCATTGTAGGCGAAAGGAAGTCAGGCGCCCTCCCGTCATCTTGAGCGATCTTTCTTTCCCTTTGCACCATCAGGTCCACTGCCGACCGCATCCATGTGTCGTTGTCGCTGTTTGCCAGCTGCCTAGACTTCGCCTTGTTTAGTTCTCCAACAATGAACTCGTTTTTAAGCCTCATCGTCCGGCTGACCGGCGGAAACTTTTCTATAATCTTCCACTTGAGGACGGGCCAGGGCGAGCCATGTAACCGTTCAATGGCAATAGTGACATCAAGGATAGTGGATAGAACCTCGTCGCATTCCACTGAAGGAAACTCGATTGGATCGTCGATGGTTCCAGAGGTTCTCAGCTCGTTCAATTGGGTACTATTGAGGCCTCGAATAAGATCTGCTACAGGTTTTGTAGCGTTGTGTGGGAAGTCGCCGCCAAACGAAAAGGCTGTAACGGCATCCAAAGCTGCGTAGAAGATATCTTCGGACACGTCAAATGGTCTACCGTCAGCTATGCGCGTCTTGTGTCGCCAAAGGTCGATCAGGTTCGTCACGTTCGAGTAGATGGCTGGTGCCGCGACGTCTTGTAAAAAGGGGGGCGACATGAGATCCTGCAATAGTCGTCGGTGCGCTTTCCACTCGTCCCCGAGTTCCAGAGTAATTTGGTGGTTTGGCGTAGGACCTTTGAAAATGTTCTTGATGATTCGTCCGCGATCGAATTCCTTCCGCCGCATGCAGAGATCCTGCATCTCGCGGAAGTCACTCAGTATCACCGCGGGCGGCGACATGGGACGAAGGAAGATCTGGCATACTGGCGAGTCGTGCTGGTCCGCCTGACGTTGCAACCAAGTAGCCAGGTCGCCCGTCTTCAAAACCTCGCTGGCCAGGTCTGGTAGGTCACCGAGGATTCGGCCGAGGGCTTTTGAGTTATACGGGATGCCGGGGATAGGCTTCGGCAGGGCTTTCCGATACAGCCTGTACAAAAGGTAAACGGAAAGTATGCCCGTGAACAGTAGGAAACCATAGGCTTTGCGTGGAGAGATCGTCTCCCTCATGAGATGAGCCGTGTCAGACGAAGTTACGAGAGGCATTATGGCTATGGGTCTTCCAGAAGAATGGCTGCACGAACGCCAAAGTGCCAAACCGGCGTGGGAAGAACCGACAGTTTATACGTGATGTCGCGAAAGTCAGTCTGTCACAGATGGTGATGCCCAAAAGGGCAAACTGTAGTCATTCGGGTTTGAGGACTCGAATTCCTTATGCAGACTCCCGAAGGAACCCAATTTGTCGGGTCTGGGAGGTACCGCAAACGGCATTCGCTGTGGTGATGGAAAGTCGGTAACTAGAAGCGGTTCTTCACGTGCCATAGAAGCTTCCCACCATTGTGCTACGACGTGGATTCCTAAAAAGGCAACCGGCTCATTGCGAGCAGTGTTAGCCGTCAGCTCTATGGGGTGGCACTCAGACCACCACCGCCACCACTTAATTACTGGAAGTTGAGGGCAATCGACGAATCTGTAGCAACGATGCTTTATGAGCCTTGAGAGTACGGCCACCATAAGCCTCGTTACATGTGTGCAGCGACAAGAATACGCAAGACAAAAATCGATAACGGCGAAATGGAAGGTCGTCTGCACAAGGTTTAGCTATGGTTGGCCCCGATGACCATATGTACTTTGGCCTAATGAATGGATCGGGCAATGATTATGTTGGCGATTATGAAGATTGTATGTAAGATTATGCTTAGAATCGTTGCTCAAAAAGGATGAGCTGTTCGAATGCTAAAGTGCCAAGCGTGCGGTGAGTGATTGATCTGCTTATAAGTGCACGTTCACTCCAGAGTCCCACGTACAATCGGGCACTTGAACGCAGGTCAGTTGACGGATGCACGTCGGCGACCGAGGGTGTGGCAAGTGTCAATTTCAGGATGGAACAAGTCATCATGTGTTGTTCACAAACCTCTCAAGTGTTGTCAGTCTGAATTGGCAACGCAGAATTCGTGTAATCACTCGAGAGGAGACTTCCGGGGATGCAGACGGGCGAACTGAAGAACTTAGATGAGCATCATCATCAGGTCGAGTGATTGAAAAGTAACGGCACTCCAAAAGTAAATGGAGCATATTCGGGTCCGATTGGGCAACGCAGCGCTGATAGTATAGCAAGTTCATCATCCCGCGAAAACGAAGTTCAATGTCTCCCTCTCGCAATACTTGCCGGAAAGGAGTCGGACAGAAATAGTGATCTGTGTTGTTACTAATAGAGTGAGGTGTGCTCGACAAAACTGGTAACTGCCAATTTGAGCACTCGCAGAAACTCTGTTCAGTACTTTAGAGTTTCGGTGGCGGCGATGACTATAGGAGCCGAGGGGTTCACCGAGACCGCCGGAAACATGTTCAAAAAGGCCGCTCGTCTCTGGTAAGCTTTCTTCTTAGAGCTGGCTCCGACAGATGACTCCAGTGTCACTTCATTCAATGACCAGTAGGTCGGCTCCGATAAGTCATCATCCGGCCGGTTGTGTCGCCCAAACTTCAAAGTCCGAAGGTTATCATATCGTGAAACTTACTTCCATAATTACGGGGATGCGTATAATAAAAAAACAGTAATCTTGAGGAATGCGCCGACTCGATCAGATATTCTGGGAGTCTGGAGTTTCCGTCAAGCAGCTCACGGGGCCGAATCACCGTAGCGTCCTAGTAAACCACATGCAGCCACCAGATCCGCTACCAATCCAAACGCTCCCAATCTACTCATCTTGTCAACCTTTTTCTATGTTATCTACCACTGCTAAGTTCTGGAGGAAGACATTCGATCTTACGGGTTACAATTTCGAACTGTTGAACATAACTGCCAAACAATTAAGCAGATATCTTAAACATTGCCCACCTGTTCATAAGCATAAGTACTCTAGAGGTCTCCTAACTGTTACCTAGATGATAAACAAATAACCAGCGCATTCAGATATTTCGCAACTTTTTAATTGAAACCAATACAACTAGGCTGACAGGTTCAGTGCCCAACATTTCCGTGCCCCCCTCCTATCCACAAATGGGCATGATCCACATAGTACTCTGTTCCGCTATGAGCATTACTTAGTCCGATATGGTGTAGTGGTCAAGATGATGCCCTCTCATTTATTATTAGCAATTCGAGAGGATAGGCATAGCCCCGAGTTCGATTGTCGGTTTCGGAAACGTGGACATGCGTACTGCGCGGTTTCAATTTGGATGAGCATTTTGTTCAGAGCTGACAATCCTGTCTCGTGCACCTTTTGCAAATGAGGAGTTGCAACACCTTGTTCATTCTCTTTCTCTAATCCTTTTGCGAGCACTTTTCAAAGCTGATGGAAAGGAGATATCTGGTATTTTGGAAAACGATGTCACGATCCTGTCTTCTGTGGGACGTAGTCTGTTCGTAGTGAATGACTCCAAACATCACTTTCTCCGCCCTTTCATTGTTATATATTAGGCTATCTACGGCAAACATTCTCCCAATGTCCCGTTCATTCATGATCTCTTCCCTTTGTGTTCATCCACAGGCCTGAAACTTATAGCTCCGGCTTTTTCTGAACCTGCGTCGGATTTTGCGCCGCCAAGGTTGGAACAGATGGCCAGTGCTTATGGCTGTTCCATGTCTTGTACGGCCCACGCCTCTAGGCTGCCGGACCGCTGCCTAGCGCGTCCCTGCTTTGCACCCTTGTCAAGCCAGGTGATAATTAGAGGTAAAACCAGCGTACGGAGTCCTACTTCAATTCAAAGAACCAATTTTCTAGACACTCTTCCGACCTCGACGAATCTTAACTATCGCGACACCTATGGGTCTTAAGGACATACCCAATGAGATCCTCAATATGATCATCGGGCAACTATTCCGACTGAAAAGTCCCAGGGACCCCGCGAACTTTCGTGAAGTTCGCAAGCACCTTCTCCCCGCCCGCCTCGTTTGCCGACGATGGAATTCTATTGCGACTGAACACCTATATCAAACCTTGGAGCTAGCACACACTGGAACCGTCAACGGAGACGAGAGTGGGTTTGAAGGCTGGAACAAGACTCTCGATCTTGAAGCCGCCAGAAATGCTGCTCAGCGCGTCATCATCCAGAGCTGCTCCAAGAAATCGAGGCAATTTGGAGACTGGGAAGACTGGAAGAATGGAGAGTATGATGCTTTCACATCAGCCATTAAGAGAATCAAACAGTTGCCAAATATCAGAGCTATCGAGCTGCACTTCAGCGAGAAATGCAAAGGCCGGTGGTCCAATTTTCATAACCCGTGGAACGACGTCGAGCCTAGCGAGACCCGACTAGACACACTCAAGGCAGTTTTCGAGGCCATTCGCGAACGCGCAGTTCAGCCTAATACCGAAGTCAGCACAATTCGGTCCTTGACGATTCGAAACCTCCAAAACATGCCGCATCAGGAATTGGTCAACTCTGGTCTTTTCAAAGACGTCGCCAAGAACATCGACAGTCTTCACCTGTTGGTCACAGAGGAGTACAATGAACACGGTCCAGACCGCGATGTATTTATGGAAGAGCGCTTGGAGTTCGAAAGCCATCTGCAGCAACAATTTCTTCCTCACTTCGCGGTCAATCTCACTGCCCTGACTTTGAACTTCCACGAGTGTTGGGGCACCATGCCGGGATACTTTGACGGGGCAGGCCTAGAGTTCCCTCGCCTAAAGACGCTAAACCTGGGAAACTTCGTCATCAGCAACGACCGTCATCTTGACTGGGTTCTCTCACAGAAATCGCTTGAAACTTTGCATCTGGACAGCTGTCATATTGTTTCCCACATTCAGGTTGACACCGAGGAAACCAAGGAGTGGGATCTTCACAAGGAAGATTGGCAGCGTCTGCCCAAAGGCTCGTACGGCATATCGCATGACAGTGCCGAACTCTACAGGTTCGATGGGACGTGGGAGTCTACTTTCGATAAGATCCGCAACAACCTTCCCCACCTCAAGGACTTTCGCTTTGATGCACAGTCTTACGGACTTCACTTTCTCCATCCCTCGAGGATCGGCACCGTGCTGCACCCGAGTCGGTACATCAACTTCGACGCAGGAATCTGTCCTAGTCCATGGTTGACTTCAGATAGTGAGACTGGTGAGATGTACTTTGGAGACGACGAGTGTTCTATGAACCGCTCCGAAGAAACAAAGGAGGGCGACAGCAGAGCGTTCAGCGATCTTCTCAGTGCTTGCAATGAGAGGCATGAAGAGTGCGAGGTACAAGTGACGACAGGGCGATACCCATATCGCGCCGAAATTCAGAACAGACAATAGATACGGCAAATTGGAAGAATCCCATGAAGACTTAAGACTTTTCATAGCATATATTGATCTGAGCTACAAGACTCTAAGTGCTGTCGTTTTCCATTTCAAAAACACACGGCTATATATGCAGAAGAAAATTTTGTAACATGAATGCATGCTTGTCACGAACACCGTCTTTTCGCTTAGCTGTACCAAACAACATTAGCCGGTCCCGATGCCAATGCCAGGTGCGCGACAGCTGCCGCAGTCGTAGATGAGCCAGTAGCGTCGATCTTCCATACTTCCAGGAAGTTAGAGCCGCTGTCCGTAATGGCAAAGTAATCCTCGCTGAACTTAGCGGGAGAGACGGCATTGGCAGAGCCACCGCTGTTCGTGGTAGGGGTGAGGAACAGCTGCTCGGTGATGGCGCCGGTGGTGCTGTCGAGAGAGAAAGCGGAAACGTAGCCCGGGACACCGACGGTGCGGGAGCGGGTGGCAGCAATCAGGTACTTGGGCGCGGTGGCGCTAGCGTTGCTGCTGGGGATGGAGAACATGACTTCGTCGGCCCAGTAGGACGACGTGTTGGTGTAACCTGACGAGTTGTTAGCTGGTACTTCTGGAAAGGTCTTCACTTGAATTCATACCTGAGGGCAAGAGAGAGTAGGTGGTGTTGGTGAAAGTCAGCTTGCCGGTAGTCGTGTCGCGTTTGTAAGACGCGATGGAGTTGGCCTCCTCATAGACGACATAGACCCAGTTGCCATTGGGGTGCACGGTCAAGTGTCTGGGGTTGGATCCCTCGGCTGCGGCAAGGTACTGGACTTCTGTAACCTCTCCAGTGGTGTTGTCATAGGAGTGAGCCCAGACGGCGTTGCCCATGTCATCGGCGGAGTAGATGAAGTCGTTGTTGGGGCTCATCCATGTTCCGTGGACACCTCCGGCGCTGTCATATGTGACATTCGCAGTGGCCTCCTGAAGCACACCAGCGTCATCGACGGTGATGGCCAGGCTTGAGCAGCCACCTCCATAGGGAGTCCCGAAAACAGTGTAAGGAGAGGCAGAGGAAGACGTGATGTAGTTGGCGTTGCTACCTATTTACTGTAAGTAACAGCCTCATCTCAAGACATGCTAATACTTTGGGGGTGCTCACAGTCTGAAGACAAGCTGACGTTGCTGCTGTACGTCAAGCTGAGGTCGTCTGTGATGGCGTAGCTCTGGAAGTAACCAGTCGTACCGACATAAAGGTTCTTCAGGCGGGACTATCGTCAAATTGTCAGTATTCGGCCTGGTTGTCGCATTCTTAGGTATGCTTACATCGATGTGAATCCACTTGGAGCCCGAGCTCGCGTCTGTGCTGATATTGTTCTTCAAGGTGAGCGACTCTGTCTGGTCATCGAATTCGACACCGACAATAGTGCTGCCGGAAAAGAAGCCCGAGAAGAAGTAATGACTGTCGGCCAGGGCCGGAGCAGCGGCTGCCGCGATCGAAAGTAATTGGAACGAGCGCATGTTGTAGGGCTTTGGCAGATCTGCAGATGGGATGAACAGGCATGGAAAGACAACCACAGACGAGACCGATCTTGGCACATTTAAACATCAATTTGTAGAAACGCCTTTACAGCTAAGATGACGACTCCCGAAGGCCTCTATCCCGCCGGCGGGAGACTGTCCACATCACGAAGATGCTCAGCCCCATATCAGGGGGCCGTTGCGCGGCTCAATAAAGTATACCAAGCTTTTTGGCATGGGGGACGTATGCCCATGGGTTAGCAAATGCCGGTATGGAGCATGGAGAACAGCAGCCAGTGGCGGTGGAGAAAAAACATGGAGTCATGGACAAAGGGTTGACGTTGGTAGCGGTAGAGAAGGCCTCGCGTTCTCTGCAAATGCCAAGAATAGTTTCAGAGTGTGGCTCAATACCAGAGCTGACGAAATTCAAGGGGCCGGTCCTACCATCCTATGAGCGACTACGCCTATATTCTGACAGGCGCACGCGTAATCCCGAAAAGCTGGCCAAGCCGTATTCAGTAAAAGTCGGGTCGGGATCTCCATTTTTTGATGGGGGAGAAATTCGTCCCGCGACTAGGCAATGCTTGTTTCAATCTAAGTGCCGCTGGTGGACGAGTCCGGGCTCAATGTTTTCCCTAATTTGTTAGAGTTCATCCTGTTTACTGCCCACATTCCGTGCCACGGCTCTGGTAATAATTGTCTGGCGGGATCCACGGAGCTGACCCCTACAGAAAGCCGGAAGTGCCGACTTTAGATCATCTCCAGAGAACCTGCTAGCTACGCATTCGGGATGTATTCGAACCGATCTGAAGATTGGAAGAGCATTTATGCCGCCTCGCCGTCCTGTCATAGTCAAACTCATCTTGAGTAAAAAGCTTTTTCTATTGAACGAGGTCTCAGTGCGAAGTGCAGACACTCATGACACCAGCCAAGCCTTTATTTCATCATCTCGGCTCTCTTTCTTGTAAATTGCTTGTTAACACCGTATTTACAATAAGCACTTGGCAGCTCAAGTTTACTATTCCGATCCCTTTAGAAAGAACTCAAGATCGGCGCACTTCGTTCAGCTCATTCCATTCTCTACAGGCTTGGTACTGACTAGTTTCTAGGGCGCCTAGATGATGAATCTAGGAAATCTTTAGGTGAACGAACGACTAGAATTTTAGCATTCCATTTCGGTTTGACTGCAATTCCCAACCGACCTGAAAAGTTATGACCGAATGTCAGTTCAATCACTAGCTCGACCATCCACGCCGATGCTTTTGAAGACACCTTGAACCAACCAGGCTCTACCGGCTTCAGTAACCATTAATTCAAGGCTACCTGGAATTAACGTGCAAAAAGTGGAAATACCCCCACGGGTTGAATGTGACAATTGTAATGATCCCTCAAAATCGGCATTTCCCCAAGTCTCAGGTTAGTAAAGATCGCTACCAAAAGCCTTGCTTGATATGAGTTCTGTAGGATCGGACAGCCTCATTATGTTGGTCGAGGCACACCGACGCTCAATTGTGCAAAGCGATTCGTCGAATCAATAAAATGAACATGCGCGCTGCAATATTTCGGCTAGCAACATGCTGCATAATCATGGAACAAGCAGCAATATTGCATGCGATAAGGTCCATCCGGAGTGAAAGTGCACTTTTGTCAGCCTGATTTTGATTTACCCCTGTTATGCAGTGAGCTCGATCCGCCTCGCCGCTGGCCATCCTCGATGAACTTCTTCTTCTTAAAGTCCAAGATCTGGGTATTCCGAATATCGTTTTGATGGCGATGAGCTCCTTGCTAAGCCTTGGAAATTTGACGGGGCAATGGAGGAGTGCATGTTCAGAAAGCACTTGGCGAAATGTCGCCATGTAACTGAGGCAACGACTTATCTCACGCTCTACAACTACTCGGCATGTCCCTCTCCCCATTGATACGTTTTCTTGCGTCAATATCCTGACCGTTCTGGCTTGACTTAGGATTCATGTTTGAACGCACTGAAAGAGGGAGATTTGACTCTTGACAACCTCAATGACTTTCTATACGAGCAGGTAAGACTTTTGGCTCCCTCCAAGTCTCTGACTCCTCTTACCAGCCATGCTTTTTCTACAAGAAAAATACCTAGCACTAAAGATTGAAGGGCGAGTTCCATCCACCGGTCGCAGAAGAAGAGGGAGACAAACTTTCGAGCAAGCTTCGTTTGATGTCAGGACAGACTTTCATTAGCGAATGCCACATTGACTAACATCGCGATATAGCATTCAAAAGGATGCCAAGGATTTGGAAACATTCACACCGTTGAAGATTCCACTGCCACCAGCACATTACGAGCAAATGCTCAAATGCCTACGGCTCCCGCTACACGCCGTCGAATTGACCACCTTTCTTGGACCTCTCTTCTGGTACAGATATGTTCTTCTTGAAGACGATGATCCCCACCTTCGTAAGCTTTCATACCTTACACTCACAGGCTTTAAGCTCTCGACTCATGTCATCTTTAGAGATGGTCTTTGGGAAGCATGATAGCCGCAAGAAGACCGGAACCCGTGGCTGGGAACTGATTCTATCATATTCTTTCAAGCGACGCGAGACCACAGGCTTCGTCAAATGGACACCTACCGCCGATATCGTTGAGTGCTTATCAAACTTGCGAGATTGTGTTCTTGACATAAGTCATCCACTTCTCATCCCCAGCATCATCATGTCTGACCTCGTAGCGACATCTGACGAAGTGAAACAACGAGAAGCCCGGACTAGCATTCGGCAACTAGAAAAGGCAATCAGTGTCAATGACGATACAACAGGCTTTTACTACTCAAAGGACGGCACCATCGACTTACGCACAGTCGCAAGTGATCTTACAGAACACCACAGAAGAATTCTTCATAGACCACCCAAACTTTACTCCAAGGTCATTGATGCTTTGGAAGCTGCCACAGATTGCTTCTGGGCACATATCGACCCTACTGACAAGACCAAAGCGTTGGATCGGCTCCATGCGACTTTGAAGGACCGTTTCCATTGCCACAGAGTGCGACTCGTCGGGTTGGAGAAATACGTTTCCATATCTGTGGAACGCTTGAATATCCAAAGAAGCATAATCAGAGATATACCCACTCATTATGTACCTCTAGCTAGTAAGGGTCGCGAAACGTTTACTAACAAGAAGTACCCTAGGTTTCTTTCATTACGGCCGAGATTGCACAGAAGGATGCGAAATTGAACCTCAAAATAGCAGGAGATCAGAGAAAAATAGCTCATGCTAGTAAGAGCGATAGTCAGGCAATGAAGGCCCTTTCTCTTCTCGGTGCTGCTTTTCTGCCTGGCACATTCATCGCCTCCATTTTCAGCATGTCATTTTTCGACTTCCAGGCTCGTTAGTATCAGCGCCATATTACTTGTTTCCGCAGTGTTCAATACTGATAATTTCATGATAGAAGCTCATGTTTCGTCCAAAATTTGGATCTACTTCGCGTTTATGGTCCCGTTGACCACGGCTGTCCTTCTTGGTTGGCTTTTCTGGGATCATAAGCGAAGAAGATCGCAGCACTTGACAAGGTCATCTGCCAATAACAGCGGCTCTGATACAGAGAAGGCAATTATGTTTGAAATATCCAAGAGAGCGTAAACAGACTCGTCAGTTGTGTTCACTAGCCTCTAAAGGCCGTCGTTCTGTTTACACGCTGCGAGAAACATACCTCAGTTCAAAATCATCTGGGAATTTCCCTATCTTTTCGGTCGCATTTGTCCGATTTCTCAGATACAGTTACTCAAAATTTCAAGCCCACAGGCAGTTCACTTTGCGCCTGTCTTTGCGACTATGAACGTGAACCTCAAGGTCATCATCAATCGAGACCTGCGGTCGGGAGTGGGGCTCGCGGGTGACTTCGGGCCCGTATTTAAGTCGGAGCCGGGAAGGCCGGCTGGATTAAACGCTGCGCTCTTGCCGATGATAGCTGCAACTAATGACAGAACGTTTGCAAGTAAGCGATGGGGTCTTGCAATGTACACGCCAGCTCGTGCTGCCTCTTTGAGCTGTAGGCATTGAACATTTGTTCACATCGGGGCATTCCATTACAAAAGAGACTAGGCGTAGTAGAATAGGGATGTTGCATAATTGGAACGCGCAGCAGTGGCGACGACGATGTAAGTACAGAAGGCCAGCACCTTATCTCATCGGAGTTCCCCGTTACCTGCGAATCGATACATCGTATCGAATCGAGCCAGCCGCCGAATTTATGCAGCACAAATGGGAATGTGTGAGGTTCGGATACAGAGAAGGAGCTGAGGGTATTGAATAATCTGCCCAGGGTCGGTGGGCTTGTAGGCTTGTTCCATCTTGGCGATGAAAACAACAGTCCAGCACAGCCACGATGATGGCATAACCGCGTATGCTATCCGAGCTACAAGAGAGAACTCCACACCTAGTACACGGCACCGACCGCTTCACTTCCGTCTGCCCTGCGCAAAAGATCTGATCTTCACGCAGTACAACCAGCCAGCTTTTGGAATAATAATACTCTACGACATTCTTACCTTTGAGCCCGAAGAAGGTAAAGCCTTTGAATCGCCCAGTCCGGCTCGGCTGCCGATCATATTGGAGTTGACTTCCGAGGGTTGGCATGAATAGCGAACAGCAAGAAACGGACTTCGGGAATCGGCGCAGCTTTCGGGCAAATAATACCTTGGTTCGTTCATTTAGATTCGGGCAACCCGATGTGGGGGGATCGAAATTTCATCCCAATATCTTCAAGTTTCCACAAGGAGTTGTTCTGGCAAGCAATGTTTCCTGTTTACCTACAGCGGCTATGAAAGACGGCTGCAAGGATCTATGCGGTCGTCCAATGGGATGCCCTTCTATGCTCGATTCACCTTGTATTAGGGCAAGTGGGCCATTGCCAAATGCGATACCGAGCGAACTACCGCGCTGACATGTTGAACTAAGCTTGGGTTGATATATGCTTAAATCCGGAGGTGGGTACGGCCTCGGTCCGTTCTCACCCTCGATGGCACCA